AAAATAAAATATTAAACAGGTCACAATATATGTTGTCAGAATATATGTTCATAGCATCAGAATAATGTTTCAGGAAATTGCATAGTTCCACATGAAATGGGTCCCAGCTGTTATAGACTAGGTAACATCCTATGGAGTTCTGTGAAACTGTTACAAGCTGGGCTGCCACACATACTGCTTGAGCCTATGAAGGTGACCCACAACCTTAGTATTCTACCTCCTCCAGGGGGTTTACAAGAGTCAGCTGGACACCCATCCCAGATCACAGAATTCAGGGTAATACAACCTCTTTTAAAATGGTTGAGCCCAGGGCCAGCATTGTGGTATAGTCAGTTAACCCTCCACTTGTGGTGCTATAGTGGGGGATGGCCCCAGTTCTTGGGCCCCTGCACCCACATGGGAGACCTGGAAGAGGCTCCTGGCTCCTGGCTTCAGATCCGCCTGGCTCCAGCTATTGCAGCCATTTGTGGAGAGAATCAGAGGATGCAAGACCTCTTTTTCTGTCTCTCCCTCTGTCTGTAACTCTGCCCCTCAAATAAATAAATAAAAATCTTTTTAAAAAATGATTGAGGGCTTTGAAAACCCTGGGATAATCTATCTGGATGACGGTAACTTGGGAGAGTACCACCTTATGTTTTCAGAACCATACAAGGCAAAAGCCATAATGGTGCTTCATCATTCTCTCTCCATTGTCAACTGAGACATGCATGGGTTACAAGACACCTGCTGACCCAGCACAACATGCGCCATTTTCTGCCAACATCCCACTTCTCTCTGCCCAGCACCATAGCCATCTGGGCCATACATAGGAGGGAAGTAGCATCAGCAACCCTTCATGTAAGCTCTGCCTGAGAGGCAGTCATTCTGCCCGCGAGTTCTCATTACCTATTGTTGGTACTTGCCCACTGCTTGGGGACAATCATGATGAAGGGGATTTGCTTTGAGATCTGTGCCACTGGGTGTTTTCATCATCGTGTGAACACCTGATGGTGAACTTACACACACCTAGACGGTGTAGGTCAATCACTCAACATGGGCCCTTGATGCAATAAAAAGATGAAGTAAGCACAAAAGGCATAGGGCTGCTGCTGACATAATACCACAGACTGTTTTACGTGAACTTCTTTTTAATAAGTGGGAGCAAACTCAAATAATGACAAAAAGTATAGCAAATACATAAACAACATGGTCATTATTATCTTACCAAGTATCGTGTACTGTACCCAGATGTACTGCCATGCTTTTACACAACTGCCAGTACTGTAGGTTTGTTTCCACCCCGATCTCCACAGACATATGAGGAATGCATTGCACTGTGATGTTGGGACAGCTGTGAGGTTGCTAGGCAACAGCCACTTTCCAGTTCCATTAAAATCTTATGATCACCACACCAAAACCTTATACAGCATGTGAAGTATAAAACAACTCAGAGTTATAAATACCTCAATTACTAGCTGCTGCTACATGCTAACCAAGGGAAAAGGGAAACATCTTTGGAGGAAATAAAGGAGTGCTGTGTGACAAGGACAAGTAGACCCCTATAACGTGACTCAATGTAGAATGACAGTAAATGAATGATAGAAATCACTCTACAGGCCGGCGCCGCAGCTCACTAGGCTAATCCTCCGCCTTGCGGCGCCGGCACACCGGGTTCTAGTCCCAGTTGGGGCGCCGGATTCTGTCCCGGTTGCCCCTCTTCCAGGCCAGCTCTCTGCTGTGGCCCAGGAGTGCAGTGGAGGATGGCCCAAGTGCTTGGGCCCTGCACCCCATGGGAGACCAGGAGAAGTACCTGGCTCCTGCCATCGGATCAGCGTGGTGCGCCAGCCGCAGCACACCGGCCACGGCGGCCACTGGAGGGTGAACCAATGGCAAAAGGAAGACCTTTCTCTCTGTCTCTCTCTCTCACTGTCCACTCTGCCTGTCAAAAAAAAAAAAAAAAAAAAGAATTCAACAAATAGCAAGAAGAAAAGAATTGTTCCTCAATAGTTGAGGCTGTAAACAATAATCACATCTCAAAATGTCAGTTTCACTCATATACGTTGCATTTTTTGGTACTCTATTAGTTACCACAAACCAGGGAAAACATAAGATATTTGCCTTTTTGGGACTGGCTTATTTCACTAAGTATAAGGGTTTCCAGTTGCATCCTTTTTGTTGCAAAAGACAGGATTAAATTTATTTTATGGCTGAGTAGTATTCCATAGTGTTTCTATACCACATTTTCTTTATCTAGTCATCAATTGATGGACAGCTGGGCTGATTCCATCTCTTAGCTATTGGAATTGAGCTGCAATGAGCATGTGTGTACAGATAGCTCTTTCAAGTTCCTAACTCTCAACACTGTTGCACTGGAGGTTCAGTTTCCAACACATGAACTTTGGGGAACACGTTCGAACCATAGCAGTCAGCATTCATGCCCTTCCTGTAGTGAAAAGTGATATTGCGTCAAATAGGATTTAGGGTTTGGGGGGCAACTGTATTAGGGCCAATCCGAGCCCAGCCACTTACTAGCTGCGGAGCCTAGGAATGTTATCTAACTGCTCCAAGTGCCCATTTCACCATCAAAAATGGGAAGAAATGCAGTGCCTTCCTCAAAGAGTGGTGAGGATTTAAGGATATAACCCATGCAAAGTGCTTGCCCTTAGTCAACTGACTGTAACTGTCAGCTGCTACAGTTACGTTACTGTGATCAGTAAGTCAATTCACCCTAGACAGTTGTTTTATTCATTTATTCATGCAATAAAGATTTGCATTAAGTACCTTGAGTTACATGAGTGCAGCCTCAAACATGACAGACACAGTAGCCCTGCTTTCGGTGGGGGAGGAGGCCTCTTCCATCAAGCTTCTCTTTGGCTGGAGTACGGTAACACTCACCTGTGTCTGCCTGAGTCTAAGCCCACGAAGAGTCTTTGGACTACAGTTTGATTTCCCCTGTAGATTCACCTGAAGAATGAGAGCACCAGCCAGCACTGTCTGGACAGTTGGGTCTCTCCTCCTAAATTAATACAATCAATCTGGTTCACCCATCAGTCTCAGGTTTGAGGAATCTCTAGGAGCCAATCAACTCTAGAGCCCCACTTGGCCAGGTTTCAGCTAGACTAGGGAGTGCCCAGCCTATGATGAGTGTCAGCCCCCAGGGGCCTGTCTGACCCCTGAGCTCTTCACCTGGTGAATCTTCCCAGGCTTGGAAACTCTACCACGTGGGCTGGCACTTCCTGCTCTCATCAGCAGGCAGCTGGAGCCATGGGGGCCAGAGCCCTGTGCCTGGACCCCAGACACCTCCACCTTCGTCCAATGCTTCCCCATCTCATCTCCTGGCCTTGGGCAGGAAAGTCAGAGTGAAGGGTCTTGGACATTTCCCCGGAAGTTTGACCGGAGTCAACTGTACAGTGTACGTGGAAAGGAAGGCACTGGCAGTGCTAAGCAGAAGGCAGGTATAAGGGAACACTACCCTTAGGATCCCCCTCTCCTGCGCCCAGCATGCTGGCCTGTCTTGGGCAGGGGGTGAGCTGGGAGCCACGTGAATCTCTACTTCCAGCAGCAGAGAGGACCCGGCTGCTGGTGCGCTCAGTGCTGCCACTGAGCCATTGCTATGGGACCTGAGGGAACCAGTAATATGGGTGGAGTAGAGAACCACCTGCTAATGTCATTTGAAAGCCTTGGAAACTCCCTGGGCCTAAATAACTCCCACAGCTGCCTGCTAATTCCCAGTGTTAGTCACTGCTTAAGGGATGTTGTGGGTATATTATGTGAGCCAGCACATGATTGATCTGCCAAGGCACCAGATTAGCTATGGAGTACATGAATGGGGAGAAAGTTATGTAATTCCCAGTTAAATCCTTTGATGGCTTTCTTTGAGCTAATAATAAAACTTACAGTCCTCTTACTGAGCCCATGGTGCTGAACTTTCCCAAGGCTCCCACGCCAAGATTCCTGCACTCGGGCCTTTCTCAGCTCCTCGGATAGGGCCCCCTTCCTCCGGGTGGATATGGCCCAGGCAGGTCAGCGCCCTGGTTGGGGCTCTGCTGCACAGTCAGATGCAGCAGTGTCAGCGTGGGAGAGGGCACTTCCACACAGGACAGGGAAAATGAGTGTCCCCCTCGACACAGCTGGCATCTAACCCAGAGACCCTCAAGGACAGGCCCCAGCCACCAAAAGGATGCATTGGAATCTCCTAGAAGGGCCGTGTGTACTTTGAAAAAGCTTTGGCTCCTGATTGCACTCTAAGTGCATAATTCAGGGAAAGTTTTTGGAAACCTGCTGTGTTTTTATTTGAAGTACAGAGGATCAGCTCCTTGGCATGAACCTAACTGGGAGTGTCAACCAAAAAGCCAGCCCTTTCTCAGCCCCCTCCTCCTTTCCAAGCCCAGCAGGTGCCGTGGGTGATACCTGAAACTGTCTCAGCTCTGCCAGCCGCACCCACAAAATCCCTTGAGGCAGGAGCTCTCCAGGCCTCAGCCAGCCGCTCACCACGTATCCAGTTTGGCCAGCTTGGGGATTATTAGCTCCCTCCCCCAGAACAGAGCTCCCGCAGGCGTAGCCAGCTCCCTACACAAACAGAAACCGAGCTCTGCCCAGGGCTCTGCCCAGAGCTGCTGCGGGGCTGGGCAGGAGGCCTTCCTCCCGAGGGAAGAGTGGGGCCAGCTCAGCACTGGGTGGGAAGAGGCCAGAGCCTGCCAGCCTCAAATGACGCGTGTTCAGTCAGCGGGGGCTTTGTTCAGAGAGCATTCCCTGAGCCCCTGCGTGATCAAGGAGCTCAGCAGGCCTGAGGACGCAGTGAGGGATCAGGACACAGGGCCCACTCTGTGCCTCCCCAGGGCTACCCACTGTAGGTTCCAGGATGGAAGGGAGGGGGAGCCTGCCCGTGGTTTTCTAAACCAGCTCAGGGAAGCGGTCACTGTGCCTAGCCCCTCCCTCCGTGTCCCATGGACAGGGTGCCCTAGGGTAGCTTTATTAAAAATCCTCTTTTTTTTTTTTTTTTTTGGCGTGTCTACCCCCAGGGCCTAGGTGAATCCGGAATGTTTCTGGGGTCTTCCGTATTCTTCGCCATCACTGACGCTGTAGCCGCAGCTCGCAGCGAGAGGGGCCTGCCCCCTGCCTTGGCGATGAACAGCCCTGCCACTCCAGAGCTCATCCGGATGGCCTGTGTGGATCAGTTCACGGACCTGGTAGGAAGCCTCTGGCTTGTCGGTGAAGCTCTGTAGCCCTTCAGTGATTCTCGCAGAATGGAGGGTGGGGGACGCACGTCAATCAAAAAAGCACATTCGCAGTCCCGCCATGTAGAATGGCTTCATTGGGAAGAGGAAAGTCGCCTGTTGTTCTCTATCCTGACAAAGGGCGATACGGATTTTGAAGGGTTGGGAAATGGTCCTTCCCATCCGAGCCCTGCAGACTTTAGGTGGAGGTGGCCCAACTGGCGATCCTCTTAGCTATGCAGCCACAGTTAATCATGCAAGTTTCTGGCCCATGGAGTCCAGAGCCCAGCAGAGAGACAGAGAGACAGCCCTGGGAAACAATGGTTACGCACCACTCGCGGCTGGGGACTGCACTAGGAGGTGACACACGGAGCTGAGAGCGGTTTTCCCACCCAGCTGTTCCTGATGCTCTCTGTGTGCCCAGCCTGCTGCAGGTTCTGCAGAGCACACAGCAGGTTACACTCAGCAAATGCTAACTGCATAGGAAAGGCAGGCTTGGAAATCGGGAGGCTGCGCTGGAGTCTCCGCTGTGCCACTGTCCAGTCATCAGCATGACCCTGACCATGTTGTGGACCCATCTGTGCCTCAGCTGCCATGTCTGATTAAGTAGATAAAATATCCACGGGTTTTCTGAAAGCGTTTTGGCACAGAAGTGGCACATAGTGACAGCTAAATAGGTGTTAACGGTTACTATGGCGATTGCTATTATCATCTCATTCCCCAACCACGCTTGGTGCTCTACTTGTCTGTTTTCTGCCCTTCTTAGCCTGCACCTGTAGTGCAGAAGTGAGCAGAGGGAGATCTTGGGCTGAGTCACAGTGGCGGGAGGAGATGGGCGTCTGGTGTTTGGCAGGGAGGCCATCGCCTCCAGCCCATCACCCCAGCTCCTGAAACTTCCCCTAGCCAGCCGACCTACACAAACCTGAGGTGGTGAATAACAATGCATTCTAAAATGCACGTGAGAAAACTTAGCACAGGTCTGTACTAACGGTGCCTAAGCCAAATGGCAAACAGTCCATCATTAGATTGCGTGGGTCTTTTCCACGGTGTAAGCTGTTACACTCATTCCTCTTCATGGGCCAAAACAAAGAAAGAGGGAGCAGAGAGCAGGTTGAGGTGCATATTCATTCATCTATGTAGCCAAGACCTTTTTTGGAGCACCCACAATGTTGTGGCCACGCACTTAAGCAATGATAAAAATAAGTCCGTCCCGGGAGATCCCAGCTCATGGAGCTTACAGAGTAGTTGCACTGTACACAGTGAAAGCAGTGCAAACAGAAGCGGTTACAGCAGACCCAGCCAAACACGGACCTCCGGAAGGGACAGGGAGGAGGTGACATCCTGCTAACGGGTGAGGTCTGGACAAGTGGACGGAGAGGAAAAGGAATCCCGAGTGGGAAAAAATAAAGCAAGACCATGGTGATCAGGAGAGCAGAGGGGGCTACTTCAATGTGTCAGTTTGTCCCCAGACCTTTTTTTTTTTTTTAATTTATTTGAGAGGTAGAATTATAGACAGTGAGATAGAGAGACAGAGAAAGGTCTTCCTTCCGTGAGTTCACTCCCCAAATGGCCACCACGGCCGGCGCTGCACTGATCCAAAGCCAGGAGCCAGGTGCTTCCTCCTGGTCTCCCATGCAGGTGCAGGGCCCAAAAGCACTTGGGCCATCCTCCACTGCCTTCCTGGGCCACAGCAGAGAGCTGCACTGGAAGAGGAGCAACCGGGACCAGAACCCGGTGCCCACATGGGGTACCAGTGCCACAGGCGGAGGGTTAACCAAGTGAGCCACGGCGCCGGCCCCCCAGACCTTTTGAAATACCTTTGGATGTCTCAGAAAGCAGATCATTCGTTTGACTGGAGGGAAAGTAGACTATGAAAGAGGAAGCCTGCCGACAAAACTGGAAGACTGGCCTGGACCAGATCACAGGCAGCCTTGAAGATAAGTTAGCGCCTTCAGGTTTTATTCTGTGGATCCGGCAGATCTTTGAAAGTGATTCGATCAAGGAAAGGAAGTAATCAGGAAGAGTATCCGGCAGATTGTATAACACGAGTCAGTGTAGGAGAGAACAGTGGAAAGCTCCTGCAGCAGTCACAATGGAGCCAGAACGTGCTGGTTGTCAAGCAGAGGAAAGGCAGATTCAACTTGCAGCACCTGCTGTCTGATAGCAGGGCGTGGGCCAGGGAGAGGGAGTGAAAGGAAAGTTCCAGGTGGTGCCAGGTGAGGTGGAAGACAGTGGCGCCTTGAACAGAAGTAAGAAACACAAGGAGAGGAGCTGTTGCGAAGGGAGGTGGATTTGACTTTAGATTTATAGCCTGGTAGTCAGCCAAGGGGTTTCTCCAACAGGCAGTTAATTCAAGATCGGCAAGAGGTCTGGCTTGCAAGACGGGTGAGTCATGAGTACAAATTAGTAATTAGAGCCGTGAACCTGGATAAAGCTCACCAGAGGGTGCAAGTGCAGAGAGCGAAGAAAGAGGAAAATGCAGGAAAGAAAGAAAGGGACAGAGAAGAAAAATGAAGGAGGAAAGAGAAGGAGTGAGCCAGGGGCTTCTCCAGGGAGGGTACCAAATGGGCTGGGGACTGAACACCGGGGCTGCGGTTGGCTCCAAAGCTCAGAGCACACGCACAGCAGAGCTGTCTTCAGAGCCAGCCCCCGGGTGTGGAGGGAGGTTACCATCAGACAGAAATATGGCAAAGGGCCTGGAACTTTCCCACCCCTCGTGCACAGGTACCTACTTAACAAAACTCTGCTCTCTGGGGGCCCAGAAACCACACCATCCTGACCCCGACACAGATGACAGCACCCCAAACTCCAGGAGGCCTCCACCAATGTGCCCCCAAACCCAGGAGTGCTGAGGACTGTGGGGAGTCAGGCAGAGCCCCCTCCCTGCGCCTCACCATGCCCACAGACTCCCATCTGCTGCCGGGCAAATGCCACTTGGCACAGGCAGGGTTGCCACAGTTCTACACGTGCAGATAGGCAGGTTGCCCAGCTGTGGAGGCCATGCAGGCAAGACCTCGGGTGCAGGGGAGCTTCAGTGAGACAACGGGTGGGATACAGAGGCCTTTCTTGAAGATGAGGGAGGGGGAGTTGTGCAGGGATGGAGCCTTGAACTTGGTGACCTTGAGGGGAAATCCGTGCATGGGCTGAAACTGTGGGCTTACCTGGCAGCCAAGGCAGCGTAGGAAACTCCACTGCAAACCCAGGGCCAATCTAAAGCAGCTGGCCAGTTTGACTCGCATTCTCCCCATCCCCAAACTACACATCCCAATAAATCCAAGCCTGAAAACCCTTGCACGTGGACATCCTGGCAGGTGACCAAGACAGAAAGATGGTTTGCCCTTAATGGTTCTGCACTGCCCAATGCAAGCTCTCTGCTTCAACGCTGAGACATGAAGGTGCCTCTTCTTCACCTGAAGTCAAATAGAGAGGGTGGCCGTCCCCTCCAGCCTCAGGCCGAGCCTCAAGAGACCCCTATGGAGGAGGAGGCCATGCACAGGGCCCTGAGCTGGGGAGGACCACGCAACACTGCACATGGCGGTCCCAGCGCCACCACCTTGCAGTTGGCGGGAATGCAGGGGACCCAGTGACCAGGACCAAGCGGCAGTGGCTCCTCAGTTCTTCCCACAGAAGATCCTTGTGAAGAGCACAGCTGGTGTCTTGATGATCACAAGGCAAAGGTGCCCTGGGGACACAGATGGGAGTTAAGCCCAGTCCAACTGTGGGGCTGTGCAGGCTTTCTCTCGCGGATTCAGCGGCTCCTAAACAGCATCTTGGTAGGAAACAGAGAAGGAACGTTTTAAAGGAATCCATTCTGTAAAGAGAAGTAGCCTAAATGATTTCCAGTAACGTGATGCTTTTTCAAACTCTTCAAACAACCCAGAGTAGATCTCATTTTACAGTCCATCTGTGTGTTAGTATAATGCGTGTACAAACGGGTGTATATTCTGTTTTCAAAAAACGAACGTCTCTCAAGCCGGCATTTGACACAGCGGTTAAGACACGTGTTAAGTCTCCCATCAGAATGCCTGGGTTTGTGTCCCACCTCCACTTCCGGGTCCAGGTTCCTGCTCACGTGCACCCTGACAGGCAGCAGGTGCTGGCTTAAGGATTTGGGTCCCTGTCATCTTGTGGGAGACCCAAATTGAATTCCCGCTCCTGGGTTCAGTTTGGCACAGCCCTGATGGTTGCAGGCACTTGGAGATTGAACCAGCAGATGGAAGATCTCTCTTTGTGTCTCCTCTGTCTCCCAGATAAATAAATAAGTAAAAATTTTAAAGGAAAGGAATGTTTATTCCTCTGGGGCCTTCTCAGCAGGTAAGGGTTTTGCTGAAGCAGACAGCTGTTGTGTCACTTGTAAGAAAGATACAATGTTGCCTTCCTGGATCCTGAGCAAGGACAAACACCTGCCAGTGTTTATTTGAGGGCGATCTGTGGCCTGGCTACCTGAGAAAGTTGGACAAAGTATCTCACTGTTGCAGAAGGGCTGCCCTTGGCATTCAGAGGGCTGCTGACCCCTAAACAGAACAGGGGAGTAAGGCGGGATCCAAAGAAGAGCTTGGCTGGAGAGCCTGAGGTGAGGAAGGAGCGGCCCAGGATGGTGGGGACAGCTGCATGCACTTCAGGAGTTCACTTGACACTAGCATTGCTAGATTTCTTCTTCTAGCAGGACAGTGAGTGCACCATGTGTCAGAACCACTGTTCAGATTATATTCACCCTGTTTCCCTAACAGCAGACAATGAATTTGGAAAACCAGATAGCAATCCTTAATCTTAGAAAGTTTTGACAACAAATGAGGTTGAACTTGAGCAGCAAAACCTTGATCTTTGAGTGCCTGCAATAACTTCCTATGCACATTGCCAGAAAACTGCCAACGATTGTAAAAAGCAGCGTGCGGAAAACTAGGAATTTCATTGGCTGCAACTTCGCAGACTTGTTACACCTGCTTAAATGTAATGACAGTACCTCCACCCTGAATTCAGCCAAAGTGAATAATAATTAAAAAGGTTCTCTAAGAATGACTGTGTTTTTTTTTTATCATGCTCCTTTGCATATTTGAAGATTTAAAGCCAAGAAATATCCTCTATCTGCAGCCAATTAGGCCAAGCAAACTGGAAGCCTTTTATGGGTGGGGTGGTTTGCTGTGTAGTGGCTGCCTAAAGTGGCCTTCTCAGTAGTGGATGCAGCCTGTTGTTTGTGTGTGTGGTCCCAAAGAATCTTAGAGACACCTTTCCATTGCACCTTCCTGTCTGACCTCGGGCTCTGCCCAATCGAGACTCCAGACACATATTTGGGGTACCGTAGAAAAGCCCAGGGCGTGCCAGGCAGGACTCACAGTGGCCGACTCATCATGTCCATCTGCACCAACCTGCAGAGCAAAGGGTAGAGACTGAGGACCCATCCAGGGCCAAGTTCAAGTTCCCTGGCTGCCAGGAGATGCCCATCTTGGGAACTGGCTGTGCCAAGTGTAACAGGGATGAGTTTGAAGATGTGGTGACTGAGAAGCAGCTCATGGCAGGCGTCTGTGGGCTCAAACACACCCTCCGCTATCCCCTGGGAATACAGAGGGCCCTTCACGAGACAGGGTGCCCACCATGCTGCACCTCCATGATCGTGGACCCACCAGATCTTACTTCCTTTCCAGGCAGCATAAAAATAAAATGTCTCTTAAGTGAATTACACTACGAAGATATCATCTTGTGTTTTTGGTTTATCGTGTACAAAGACTGAAAACATTGGGGTAATCTATTCTGTTTGATAAGTACAAATTTACTTCTCAGATAAATGTTAAGCCTACAAAAATTTGTGTATTCCAGTTACCCATCTGCAAAATTTCTCTTATTTTGAGGAAACGCTGTTAAAGAAATGTGATAGTCTAAATATAAATTCTATTTTACTTGGTGTGTTTAGCTTTTTTCTCTTTTTTCATACTGAATCTTTCTTCAGTTTCCAGACCCCATTGTGGGTACCTGATTTTAAAGATTTCATACTTTTGGGAATCTTTTTAAAATAAAAAGATGCCTTTTTATCTTAAAATAACTTTGTTAATTCAAAGTGAGTTTAGCTTTTTAAACAGCAAAAATTAACAGAAAGCAAAGACCTTAATTCTGAAGCTTTAACAAATCTCACATGGGAAAAATGTGCTGATCTTATAAGTCAGTCCTTTGTTTTACATGCCATTTTTTTAAAAAATAGACTGTACAAATTTTCAAACAATCGTGTATAACTATGACCCAGTTAGAGAGTGTTCTCTGCCCTCCATAAATTCTCTTCTCAGCTTCCAGTTTGATAAGCATTTTCTTCCCACTTAAACTCAAGAATGTCAGCTTCTGAGCTGGGTCCAGCCTAGTCATGTTAGTAGGACTGCACGGAAAATATTACTGATGTCAAGGGATGTACAAACGTAGAAGATTAAACACAGAAAAACATTATCAAGTGAGTGTATTTTTCAGGATTTTAACATGTTGATTCCCTAGATTTGCTGCCATATTTTTTAAAAACTGCTTCACTTCTTTTCAGCTAGAGTGAGTATTGTGCTGTTTAAGTCTCACCTTGGTTTATCAAAGACCTGGAAATTATTTTTTATGTATAGAAAAAATGATGAATAGCTTTTTAGAAAGGGAGAGAGTAGTTTATTATACAAGTTAAATCATTTTTGAGAATCAGATCCTTCCTTCGAAAAAGAAACTGTTTTGCTGCCAATTAGTTGTAGAGAGTAGTTGTATTTTTTTTTCTATTTTTAAACCATATTCCTTGTCTTTTTCCTTTCAGATTCCACAAACTGATTCTAAATGCTCTGAGCTGTGGTCCATCCCCATTGCCTGAAGTTTGGTGTTCAAGAAGAAAAGTTGATTTTCTGATGGATTTAAGGACTCCACAGATCACTAGTATAAACTTCTATATCTAAAATATATAGAAAATTAGGGACAATTCTTTAATTTTCATTTTTACAAAATATCTTGAAATCTCAATTATATGTATAGGAAATTACATTTCTGGAGTCTCAACAAAATATGTTTATCTCAATGTAGTCATTACAGAATCTTTCAATAATATATAGTACCTCCCTGCTGATCATGTAAGGAAAATGAAGGCCTCGACCATAACATTCCTATTCTGAGAAAAAAAAAATGAGAGACCAGAAAAGATTTTTTTGATTGTTTGCTAGTAGTTTGTGAAGCTTCTTATTTAAGACACTTTGTCTAAAAATTACTTTCATTCAGCTTTTATCATTAGTCTGTATCACACAGCAGGGTATAACAACAGATGACAGTCCCTGCTGACTAGGAAGCAAATATTCACTTGCTTTGTTAATCTACAGATTTGTTGACAGTTCATTGACTTTCAAAATCTTCCACTTATCAAGGAGCCATCAATGGTCTCAACAAATTATCACTTCCTATATCACCTCCTAAGATGATTTATAGGAGGGGAATTTAAGGAAACTGGAAATAATTCCATGAAACTATTGGCATATTTGCCAGCATGACATCAACAAGGAAAGATTTAGCCTAATTCTGTTCATTGAATTTTCCCTTCTATGTCTGTGCTCAACATGAAAATTGGTTATATTTTATTGCTCAAAATAAAGTTGTGGTGGTCAGCACTGTGGCATAGTAGGTAAAGCCACTGCCTGCAGTGCCAGCATCCCATATGGCCGCTGGTTCCAGTCCTGGCTTCTCCACTTCCTATCTGGCTCTCTGCTGTGGCCTGGGAAAACAATAGAAGATGGCCCAAGTCCTTGGGCCCCTGCACCCATGTGAGAGACCTGGCTTCAGATTGCCACAGCTTTGACCATTGCAGCCATCTGGGGAGTAAACCAGTGGATGGAAGACTTCTCTCTCTCTCTCTCTCTCTCTCTCTCTCTCTCTCTCTGCCTCTGTCTCTCTGTAACTCTGCCTTTCAAATAAATAAATAAATCTGTAGAAAATAAATAAATAAAAAATAAACCTGTGTTAAGATGAGAATGGCCAAATCACTTCTGTTAATCTACCTCTAGGGTAGTTTCAATTGGTATAAACATTCAATATTTTTCATATCTAAAGCATATTGGAACATTGTCTAGTCTGGAGTCCTCTAACATATGTTTCAATCATGAACAGCACACACTAGCAGATTTCTTTTTGTCCAGTTTTTATATATACAGATTGCTTTAGTGCTTGTGATTTCCAACAGGCTGAACTTGCCCATGGTGCCACCACAAGTCCACCTGACTCAATAAATCTTTGGGTTCCACTCGTTCGCTCTCACTTTTTCTCTCGGGGTGTCCTTGACTTGTGTACCCACCATCTCTGGTGCAGGAGCAGCTTATGTGTGGGTCAAGTGAAAGGCATAAAGCAGCCAGGCTGAGCAGGAGTGGGAAACCAGGGGATTTGCGTAGGACACAGATTCGCAGTCATTTCTTGGTGGAACTAGAGCAATGAAAACACCAACACGATAGCAATATTTGTGCCACTTTCCAGGTTGCAAAAGCATTCTCACATCATCCGACCCCTGAGGCTCACAGCGGCTGCAAGTTTGCCTCCCTGTACTTAATCCTGCTTTGTAAATTCGATCACACCATTACCTTTGGTTGTCAGTTTCTTGAGGCTGGGACTGTGTCTTGCATTTCATGAACAAACACACAAGCATAAACCACACAGAAATAAGCATTCTTAAACTAACTGTAAAATGGTCAAGGGTTTCAAGTAGAAGAATTGCTGGATGTGATGATGAAAGAGATAGTAAGGTTGTGAGGAGACCAATGAGCCCAGCAGACAGGACTGTAGGGGATGGGGCCTGGACCCAGGAGGACTCTCGGACTCCTCCTAGGGAGGAATAATCCCACCCAGAGCCCCCACACCCTGAATATAGAAATCATCCCCATTTTTAGTGGCTAAATTGCTTTTCATGCTATTTATAGATTATATTCAATAATTTTTTCATTGATGTATATTTGTCCTATTAAAAACTTTTGGTATTATAATTTATAGACAGTCCAGATGTACAGGCATAAGGTTGAACATAATGGTTCTATCCTAATTCTTTTTAAAAAAAGATTTTATTTTGTTTTTTATTTGAAAGGCTGGGTTAAGGGAGGTGGGGAGAGCTTCCAACCACTGGTTCACCACCAGAATGGCCACAACAGCCAGGATTGGGCCAGGCCAAAGCCAGGAGCCAGGAGCTTCTTCTGGGGCTCCCACAAGGGTGCGGGAGTCCAGGGACTTGGGCCATCTTCCACTGCTTTCCTTAGGCACATTAGCAAGGAGCTGGATTGGAAGTGGAGCAGTCAGGACTCAAACCAGTGCCCATATGGGATGTCAACACTGCAGGCAGTGGCTTTACTCACTAAACCACAACCAGGCCCCTATATCCTAATTCTTGTTCCTAATTTTGTTTATTTGAATTTTCCTCCTTTTCCCCTGAATCAGACTTGTTAGATTTTTTTTCTACATATAAGAGGCAGAGAGAGAGAGAGAGAGAGAGAGAGCGCTCCACCTGTTCACCCCCTAATCCCACAATGGAACAATGGCCAGAACTGGGCAGGCACAAGTTGGGAGCTGGGAACTCAATCCGGGTCTCTCACATGGGAGGCAGGGACTCAACAACTTGAGCCATCACCTGCAGCCTCCTGGGATCTACACTGGCAGGAAGCTGGAGCTGGAGCTGGAGCTGGGAGCTGAACCCACACACTCTGCCATGGAAGACAGAGATTTTAACTGGCATCTTAATCCTGGACAAAACACCTGCCCTAGTATTTTTATTATTACATTGCTCAAGAAAAAAATGTGGTGGTCTTATTTATCAATTCTACACTTTTTCTATTTTCTAAACACCTTTTTTCTGCTATTACCTTTGTTATATACCTGTTCCTAATTTCTCTTGATTAATTTTTCCCAACTTTTTGGGGTTGAAAATTTAGTTCTCCTATTTGAAGTCTTTCTAGTTTAATGAAAGCATTTAAAACTATAAAATTTCTCCCTTGAATATAGCTTTGCTTGCACTGCATGGATTTTCCTATCTTTCCACTGGCATTTTTTTCTATAGCCTGTATTTCCTGTTTGTATTTCTTCTTAAGTCTGGGTTTTTAAACTTTTGAAGTTACCTGTGATTCTATGTCTTCTGTTTGCCTTCTAATCATTAATTTCCAGTTAGATTGCATTGCAATCACAAATGATTGTTTTAACAAGAAAACAAGGAAAAATGAAAGAGACCAGACAGGCTAAAAAAAGACATGAGCATGAGAGAACAAAAAAAAAAAAAAAAAAAAAAAAAGGACAAGAACAAGGCACAGATGAAAAGAGGAAGCAGAAAGACCCCGTGTGGCTGGATGGAGCAGACGATTGGGGATTGGGTTTGTCGATGATGGGCTTTGGGCTTGGCAGCAGGTTTGGGTGGTTGAATAAGACACACGCTGCAGCCAGAGCCAGGAGACCAGAATGATACAGGGAGGGAGTAGAGCAACAGCAACTGGAGAAAATGAGCATAGCCGCTGATCCTTGGAGAAAGCACAGCTGCTCCTGGGTTGCCCTGGCCAAGGAATGCCTGGCGTGATCCGCCTGATGGTTCTCGTGTTGGACTTAAGGCTGCGTCAGCTTTTCCCCGTGCCATGCTTTCACCTGTTAATTTCGTAGGTGAATTCAATCGTTTCCATATCTTCTGCTCAGTTGGGGGAATGGATTTCAACCCAGTAACCCAGTCAGGAACTCAGCCCACTTATGTGATGTTCCCCACACAGCAGTCATCTTTGAGTTCCTATTCTGACCAGCACTGGGCATGTGATGGTTACAGAGAATCACCGGCTTCTCGGCGTCTTATTTGTAGTCCACGCGTGTGCTCATTCCCCTCTCGCTGAGCAGAAGGCAGCCACCCCCCCTTCAGAAGGAGAGCGTGACCAAGATGGCAGTCCATCCCAGCCAGAAGAAAACCCATCCACCCACCGTCCACCTGCAACTGCCACACTCACACTCACACTCACTCACACTCACTCACACTCACAGGGGAGCAGCGAAGTGGGCAGGTTCCCTGAGCCTCTTACTAGCCAGCTCTTTCAACAGGCGACTTTAATTCATGAAACTACCCAGAAATTTTCTAGGATTCACAAATCTTCCAGGAGGTGCTGGCGTAGAGCGGCTGCCAAGTAACACACTGAAGCCAGGCTGTCTGGCTGTGAACCCTGTGCGCTATGGCCTGCAGCGCTGCATCCCTCGGTTTTTCTGATCTACAAATGGGCTTATCATAGTACCTACCAAGGAGTCCATTTGGAGGATTAAATGAGCCAATGCTTAGGACAGTGCCTAGCACATAGGATGCAGGCAATTCAAAAACTCTCAGTATTGTTACCCTGGAATGCATGTGTCCTCATCAATGCACAGTCATGGATAATGCCAGCCCTCAGAGAACACAGACATGGGATGTCCCAGTTAGAGCTGCAGCATCACAGACTCCTTTGCACTAAAGAACAAAACAGCCATCTAGACATTGGAGAGAAGCCAAGACTTCAGTAGCAATAAATTGGTAGGGATTTCATAGAGATTTTTCTCTTGATTTGTGCATGAGCAGAAGCTAAGATCTGTCTGTAGGGAGCACTAGGAGCCCTGAACTCATAGCAGGGACTCACGTTAACCTGGACCACCCAGAGAGGCGGTCCAGAGACACACAGGCTGTTCTTCCAGCCACACTGTTTAGATTTATAATCAGTTTCTTAGTGAAGAAGAACAGGATGTTACTGAAAACTCTGTCCCTGGCCTTGGTGCCGAATCCAAATAACAAGGATTGAGGGTAAGAGAAAAAGAAAGTTTAACTTATAGACAGATGAGGACAACAGCAGATAATCTCAAGAACAGCTGTCCTACTTAGTGAGGATGCGCTGGGGCTGAGATGCAGAGAAGGGGGCGGGCTTCACAGGGGATGCGGGAGAAACAGCACATCTTTGGGGTAGCTGGGATAAAGGCCGCCGTGGCTCGGCCAGGCACCAAACGCTGGCCACAGCACTGCAGCTTAGTCCTTGAGGGGGTCTGCAGGTGGAGAGAGGACCCCTCTCTGTGACTGGGCTGCTCTGTTGTGACTGCGTGGAAGAGCAGTCCAGATAAGAGTTAAAGCATCCCCACAGCACGGACGAAAGGGGAAACCAACAATTTAGCCTTGAGCAGAACATAGCATGGTGCTTTGTAATGGCAGCCTGAAAAAACCTCATTTGGCCGGAATTAGTGAGAGCACAGCTGTGCTTGGTGGGAATCTGCCACCTTGCATTTGGTTACAGCAAGAACCAACTCCTGTAGCAGTATGTCACCTTGTACCCAGTTACGTATTTGGCAACCACGAAGGGGTAGCAAAACACTCCAACGTCTTCCATGTAAGGACATCATTACAGTGTGGACTCCGTCGCTCTTGTTTAAAGCTCTTTTTGTCTAAAAGGTGTAGGGTCCTAAGTGAGGTAGGTATTATTCTGGACACTGGAGACACATAGAGAGCCAGGGATACAGGCCTTGCCCCCACCCACTTCCCAGCAACCCGATAGGAGAGACAGACATCACCCAAATGTCATTGCAACCTCGACTAAATGCCAGGAAGAAAAGCAAGGGGGTCAGTGGAGATACTGTCAGGGAAGTGTTTGACTGGGGGGTTACAGACGCTTCCCTTGAAGAAGTGACAGCGATGCCGTGCCCTGGAGGCTAAGGTGGCACTGACTGGAGGTAGAGGCTGCAGAGATGGTGCTGGCCAAAGAATAGGGGACTTGAAGGTGTGGTGGCCCAGGAGCTGGGAAGGCCCTGGCTGGGAGCATGTTCAGATGGATGGAGAACCTGCAGGGGGCAAGACTGGGCCCCAAGACCACGTGGGCCATGGTGGCATCTCTATTTTCTCCTAAACACATGCAGGTCATGGAAGAGATTTGGGCACAAGAGTGAGATACTCCAGTCCTGTTTTTTCATGGAACTTCCCAACTACAGTGCAGGAGACAAGCTTGAGAGACTTGAAAGAAAAGTGCTGTCCATCAGGGAGGCTTTCAACCTGACCATAGAGGTCAAGGTCACAATGAGTACACCCAAATGCCAAGACTGCTTTGCTGTATCCAGTCCTAGAAGCTCCCTATGCTGCACACTGGCACCCAAACCAGAGAGGAGGTCAGGGAGGTGAAGTTCCTCAAGCAGGCAAGCTTTGCTTTTGCCCTGTCTAGTCTGTGTGAGGGCTAGAGAGCGGAGGGGCACAGGGAGAACTCCCCTCTCTCTTCAGTCTTTGCCCTGTAGCAGATCCAGAAGCCAAGAGTCTTAGGAAACAGCCCGTCGCATTGCCACGACGATGCAGAAAGCACTCATAGAGATGCCCCTGGCTGAGCTCAGCTGGTCTGGGGAGAGGCAGGAGCAGCAGGAGCACAGGGGAGCAGGTGTGGTGCCAGTCGGGTCTGGATGCTGCGTGGGCTCCACCCAGCCCCGGGGGCTGCTGCAAGAAGATCCCATTCTCAGGAGCCAGGCAAGCGGGGCCACGTTGTCCAGCCCTTCACATAGAGGTCTGCATCAGCTCCGGGGACACGTAGCAACCTGGCAGAAGAATGGTCCAGGATTCTCCAGCCACTCGGTGGCAGGACTGAGAGCTCCATTTTTAGAGATGAACCAGAATTCAGAAACGCCAGCGTCAAGTACAGATGGCAACATACACACAAAAGCTGTGGACCATTTGAGAAAAGCAATTACTGCTAGATGATTCTGTGTGGATTTTCTGTCTGGGAGTTCTGGTTGCTACACATGAACATGTGATAAGTGTGTGTTTAAATAGGGGGTGTTTTTAGATGTAAGGGGATGGGTAAGCCCACGAAGAGGTCTCCAGGCAGCTGAGCTCCCAACACAGCCTGCATTTCCAGGGAAGTGAGAAGTCTGGAGTTTTACATCTTTGGGCAAACAACAGCCAAGCCTCCTGATAGCTCCAAAACTCAAGAAATACCTGACTCCAAGTTGCAATGGCTGGGCTTTCCATGCTAAGAGGGACAAGGGCATCAATGGATTATTACAAACTTAAGCAAAGCTCCCTAGGGGCTCCAGCAGGGCCTCTGCTATTTCAGAATAGTGGGTACTATGAACACACATTTCTGTTCAACACTGCAGCTCCACATGCTTGAAAAAAAACCTCAAAACAGCCGGGCTCAGAACTGTCAACACAGCTCAGGAGGGTTGTGCTGGATTTTTCCACAATCAATGTCCCACCTGTGGCAACACTAAGCCAACCCAGCCCGTGACTGTCAGGCCCCACGATTTTTGAAAAATCAGTGAATAAAAGGTAGGGGATAAATTGCCCTTATCTTTAAAAACTGCAATAGTCTCTATGTCAGTGCAATAGAAACTCCACTACTCTGTCCGGATAGACTATTCCAGGGAACCTGGGGATGATTTTCTATTCCACTGAGCAGTTCAGGAAACAAGTCCTGCAAAATTCTAAATAAGAATTTCATGGGTCAATGCTGTGATGTAGAGGGCAAAGCCGCTGCCTGCAGTGCTGGCATCCCATATGGACGCCGGTTCAAATCCGGCTGCTCTACTTCTGATCCAGCTCCCTGCTAATGCCCCTGGGAAAGCAGCAGAGGATGGCCCAAGTGCTTGGGCCCCTGCACCAGAGTGGGAGCCCTAGAAGAAGCTTCTGGCTCCTGGCTTCAGATGGGCCCAGACCCAACTGTTGCAGCCATTTAGGGAGTGAACCAGCAGATAGAAGACCTCTCTCTCTCTCTCTCTTTGCCTTTCTTTCTCTCTGTGTAACTCTGACTTTGAAAGAAAGAAAGAAAGAAAGAAAGAAAGAAAGAAAGAAAGAAAGAAAGAAAGAAAGAAAGAAAGAAAGAAATCACCCAGTGGCTTGGTCTCATTGCTGCTGTAAGAGCCCTGTGTGCAGGCCAGGCATGGGGCTGCCCACACTGACGCCCGAGCATGGGGGAAGCCCATCAGCCAGCCGTTCACCATGTCACCCCGCCACAATATAAATGGGACACTTTTCCTAGTACCTTACAGGTCCCATGAATTTTTTATTATTTTATGTACAGGCTGAGAAGCTCAAATGGCAGCCTTGAGACTTCTCTATCCAACCTACATGCACACTCAGAAATCAAACGGGCGACTGGAACCGACTGGGTCCCCGAGAGGATTTTTGATTCGCTTGCCTCCATCACCAGTGTTACATCCCCAGTCTCCCCACCTCGGCAAATGGCACCACCATTCACCCGCACTGCTCCAGCCAGAGCCCTAGGGCGCCTCCTTCACTTGGCTCTCTCCTTTGCCCCGCTCCCATCCAATCTGTCAACCGGTCCAGTTGGTTCTACCTCCAGAAATTCATACCAGATCAACTCTGCCTCGTCCATCCCTGATGCCGCCAGCCTATACCCAAGCCCCCATCACCTCGGGTTACAGAGAAGCAGCCTGAGACTTAGCCTCCAGTAGAAGCAACTCCTTCCCTATACAGTGGACGACCCAGTGTAAACCACGTTGTGTTACGGCTGAGCTCAGAACTCTCTGGAAGTTTCCTTTCCTGTCTAGAAAGTTCCAAACCCCTCTCCTGGCTACGGCTGTCCCTGAGTGTCTCACATATCACCTTCCCCTTCTCTTCACACTCAGCCAGACCAAATTCTCCCTCTCTCTCTCTCTCTCTCTCTCTCTCTCTCTCTCCCTCTCTGCTATTTCGACACGCTAAGCTCCTTGCCCCCTGGGAACCCTGCACTCAGGCCTGTTTACCACGTTACTAACTGCTGGTTGAAGTGATATCATTGCTCTAGTGTTTATTTTCCTGTCATTTTAGAGATACACATTGTTTTATCTACAAAACCACCCTACAAGTCCTATAGAACAGACACACACACACACACACACACACACACAGAGGCCTTATCAGGCAACAATAAATATTTTTGATTGAATGGATGATTTTATTTGATCTACATCTTCCCTGTCACTCAGCCCCACTAATTCATATGCAAGAGTAAAAGAACTACTTGTAAATCTCTGAGTCACAAGAGTCAATCAAACTTTCTTGATCTCACACAAATAGTCTCCTTTGGCTAAAAATATCCTGCCTTTATTTCTCCAGTGAACTCCTGTTCATCCTTCAAAACCCTAAGTAAGCAGGAACACTCAGAGGGGATGAGGCTGGGCACGGTTGAGGCAACAGAACAGGGGAGTGTGCAGCTTTCTTACCCAGCTGGTGAGGGCAGAACCTAGATTCTCAAGAGAGATCTAGTAAAGGAGGCATCCAACAGTCCAAACATCCAACAGTCACTTGTCATCTCCATTTTCATCTTTCTCAGGCCTCTTGGACTTCACACATCCAAATGGAACTCTCGATGGAAAAGATAGACATAGTCACCCACCTGTTCAGCCCAAGTGACTCTTCTCACATCCACTCTGCCAGCATGACCCCTGCCTGATTCCTCCCCACTCTTACCATAGTCCACACCGCACACAATAGAAATGTCACTGTTAACTGAGCCGCCGTCCTAACACCTCATTCTCTTGGTTGCACTGAGCCCCTGGCCTGCCTTCTCCACGAAGCAGCCAAGGCAGTCTTTTGTAACTTAATTCACCCTCTGCTCAAAACCCTGCACTGACCACAGACCACGTGCAGAAGCCTTGGCCAAGTCCTTCCTTGTGCCTGCCAGGTCTCCTGGCATAAGCAGCCACCAACTTCTCCTCTGGCCTCATTGGCTGCCCTCCCTCCCCTGGAGCAGCGGTGCCTTCCGTTGGACAAGTTGCTTAATGCCCCTGGATCTCGGTTTCCTGGTCTGAAATGCTGCCGCTGCCGCTGCTACACTGAGCGGTGGTAGTGTTAAAGCGCTCCTGGGAGCAGGCTCCAGCACACGGGAGCCTGTGCTTCTGTTTGTGATCGGAAATAATTTTATGTCTTGAACCCTTACATTTGAAAAAAATGAGTACAAAAATAAAGATTAAGGAACAAGAATACACATGTGGGTTGTAAAACAGAGTTTTAAAGACGCACTTTTATGAAGCCTTCAGCTGTGTGCGTGGTGGAATCTCCCTCTGCCCTTTAACATACGCAACACCTGAAGACGATTTAGCCTCACCAGTGGGGTTCGCATTGAACCGGCCTCCAGGATGGTTCATTTTAAATGCAGATAAATTGCTCAGAACTCAACTGTGTGTGCTCCTCCCTGGCTATATTTTTTTATTTTTTTATTTTTATTTATTTATTTATTTTTTGACAGGCAGAGTGGACAGTGAGAGAGAGAGACAGAGAGAAAGGTCCTCCTTTGCCATTGGTTCACCCTCCAATGGCCGCCGCAGCTGGCGCACTGCGGCCGTGCACCGCACTGATCCGATGGCAGGAGCCAGGTACTTATCCTGGTCTCCCATGGGGTACAGGGCCCAAGCACTCAGGCCATCCTCCACTGCACTCCCTGGCCACAGCAGAGAGCTGGCCTGGAAGAGGGGCAACCGGGACAGAATCCGACGCCCCGACCGGGACTAGAACTCGGTGTGCCAGCGCCACAAGGTGTCCTCCCTGGCTTTAACCACGTTCCCCTGGGGAAAGGAGTCGTGGCCTCCAGGGGGGACAAGTGAAGGTGCAGATGCTGACTTGCTTCATTCCGGAGAGGGAAGCAGATAGGGCGGGCCCGGCGCTGTGTGAAGTGTCTGTGGGTGTGGCCGGGGAGAGCCCTGGCTGGCGCTCCCACCCGAGAGTGGGGCTATAAATCACCCTGCTTCCGTCTGCCGTTGTCAGCTTGGGCTTCCTCAGGGCCGAAAGGCGTCCACATTATTGCTCTAACACACCTTTTTAAAAAACACCTCTCTCCCAGACTTGGCAGGATGCCTTCCCACCACAATTCTGATGAGCTGATATTTTTTGTGAATGGAAGAAAGGTAAGTTTATAACATGATTAATGTGGGGATCTGTAGACCAGCCAAAAAAGCCAAGCTGTCTTTTTTCTTCCCTGCAGTGTCTTTTTTTTTTCTTCTTTAATCTCTGTTGTCTATCTTTCAAGTGGTATAAACTTGAACATGGGTCGTTAGATCAAGTTTTTCTGCAAAATGGTTCAAAGTGTGGGTGTCTCTGCTTTGGAATCAGTCAAAAAAGTCTCATTTTTCTTTGTCATATTACAATGTGAATGAATTCTGTCATTTCCCCTTTCTTTGGATTTTAGCTCTACTTGAGATCATCAATGCTATTTCTATATATTAATTTTTATTTATTCAAGAGGAAAAGAAAGAGAGACTATGACAGAGACCTCTCATCTACTGGTTTACTCCCTAACGCCCACAACAGCCCTGGGCTGGGGTCTGAAGCTGGGAGCCAGAAACTCAACCCCGGTCTCCCAAGTGAGTGGCAGGAACCCAGCTCTCTGAGCTGTCACCTGCTGTCTCCCATGGCACACATTCATGGGAAGTTAGAATTAGGAGAAGAACTGGGTCTTAAACCCAGGTCCCCTGATATGGGATATGAGCCTCTCAAGTGGTGTCTTAACCATTAAGCCGAATGTCCATCCCAATCCATGCTATTCAAACAGAAGGCGTGGATGCCACTGAGGGTGATGACAGCAAGGAACTCTCAGATGGTCGTACTTGGCCTTCATAAATTCCCTCAAGCAGATCACCTAACCTCAACACCGCACCCGCTGCCTGGGGATGCGATGAGGCTGGCCGCTTCTTCCCCCTAGAAAGGTGGGACAACACAAATGCTTTGCCAGTGCCTTATCCTCAACCCTGTGCTTTCCTAAGCAAGATGAGTAAATAAAATGTTTGAGGTGTTTTAAAGATACAATGAAAAAAAAAAGAGAGAGAGAGAGAGAGAGAGAGAGAAAGGATGCGTATCTGATGGTTTGGGACTAAAGCTTGTGCTTCTCATACCTCAGCTATACAGGGTTACTGATGTCCTTTCTGAAGGAGAAAATAAAACTTTTATAGTGGCAAAAATTCTTGGGACTTTAACAGAATAGGTCATTTCCAGGAGACCTATGAACCAACAAGCCCAGAGTGAAAGAGGGAGGAAGGAAAGCATAAAGCCTAGATTTCAGGACCTTGAATGACCTGAAGCCAAGTGGAACAGCAAAAATAACTGCTGAGTGGAAATTTGAAGCAAGTCAGAAACTAAGACCTTATTCTGAGTGTGCCCTAAGTGCCCTTTATGGCTGGGCCTTCGCTGGTGAGCAGAACCCGTAATCCTTCAATGGTGCCCTGCCATTACCAGCCCCTTGCCGGCCTCCAAGTCTTTTGAATCCAAAGCCAACATTTTGGTATTTTTACCTCCCTTCTGTTTTCAAATTTCTTAGACAAGTGGCCAAAGAAGGGAAAACATAAGCAACCCTGAAAAGAGACCGTTGCTGCTGTTGACCGCTCCTTTCTAGCAGACACAGGTTAACTGGGTGCCCCCGTCAATGGCGCAACAGCACCACAACCCGAGCAAGGCCCTCTTGCATTTCCTTTTGAAATTCTTTTCTTTGTTCTCCCTGTCTTCTCTGTTCTTCCCTCCCCAGGCATGCACCCTTGTGTATTTTAAACCTGTATCCTTCCCATCCACCAGATCCAGATGTGTCTTTGAAAGATACCCAGTGAACGTACATGTGTGTGTGCATCCTTAACTCCCACACATGGTGGTACGGTTTAGAAATCTCTTGTTTCGTTGGTGACTCAGCACTTACCCTTGAACACCTGGCTCATTGCTTCTGAATGCATAGACCTCCTGTTTCTGCACAGCCTTCATTTGCTTACTAGTACCCAGGTCATGGACATGTGGGATGCTTCCGATTCCCCTCCAAGCCCAAGAAAAGCTGCAGTGACTGAGTGACACCGCAGCTCATCGCTGACATTGGCAAGAGAACCTCTGTGTGAGACTGCACCAAGGTGATTGTGTAGGTGCTGCCTTACCAAGCACACGCGAGTTCCACTTCCCATAGCGTGACACACGCTGCTTGCCTGCCAAAATGCAGTGTGCCAATGTAATAGACAATGTGCCAGAGCTTGATAGCATAGGACTTTCAACACCTTGCTGAAGCAGAAGGGTGTGAAGTGTTGGTTCACTGATGGCGTCTTTTGCATCTCTCTGCTTTCTAATGAGTTTGCTCCTCCTTTCCTACTGGCACAACAAAGGGGCTTTTCCCGAAGTGCTCTGCTTCCCATTCGATGACTGGTTGGTTGATTTTAAGTGAATAGGAATAGTAGCTATTTGATTTGTCAGAAGTTGCAGTTGGTGGCTGTTAATTTATTTCCCAAAGTCTAATCTCTCTCCTTCGTTGGGAGCCTCAACATGTTATGGGCTCGCTGTGTCTGAGGCACAGACACGAAGGCAGGGGACCGAGTTCCATCCAGTGTGGCCCTGGCCAGCCCACTAGGGCGGTTGACGAACGTGTCCTATCACCCAGGACGTTGTCTCAGAGACACTGAGATCTTCACAGCCGAGAAGAGTGGCGTGTCATCAGGCCTTGCCCATCATCATCTCCCAGGCGCCATCTTGTTCCCGCCCATGGGCTATAACTCCCACAGCCATGCGGGAGTGGCACTGAAGAAAACACAGCAGCAATGCCTTGCGTCTGCCGTGCCGCTGTCCTCAGTCCCTGCCACATGCTGAGATCCAGGCAGCAGGGGTGCCAGGGTCACGTATGGCTGAGGAAGTCTCCTGAGGGCTTGGAAGAGAACTTGAATGTGGAGGCACCGTGTGATGAGATAATGTGATTTGTTGCCTTTTTCCGAGGTGATAAAAAAAAAATTTAGCAAAAGCACTCTTTAGTGGAATGAGGTCCTCTTTATCCAGGCTCAGTGTCGCTACCCTTCCAGGTACATTTCTTTCTTACTTGCCTCTCCCTAATCTTGCCTGGGTCCCTCTGAGGCTGGGAGGGCGGGTGGCTTTCGCCTGGCGTGCCAGCTCTGATCAGTTGGCTGTAGCAGCTGGAGCTTCATGGAGGAGCTGAATGATTTGTGCCCCTTCTGGTTTGCCTTCATATTTGGGGCAGGGGAGGAGCAGGAAGGCCCCCTAATGCCACACAGAATTAGTGACAAAGGCCAGGAGGCAAAATCCCCCTTTTTATACTAAAAGAGAAAATCTTCTTTGCTTTTATTGTTAGCACTTGCAGACAGCCAGATGTGAGCAGAGCCCTGGTGTCTAGGGAAGTCTCAAGCCCTTACCATGTTATAATGGCTCAGATACTGCAGGGCTGGCGGATGTCCCAGAAATGGCAGCCGCATCGGCAGCCATCTCCTTACCTTCGTTAATCTTAGGCTCCTTGTACTATCGTTAGCTCTGAGGTTGCAGCTGGGACTCAGCCAAGATCTCCATGGCAGATCTGAAAGGACCTCATTAGGAAAGAAAGTAGGTGACACCCCATCCCGGAAAATCCCACTGTGTTCCCAGGCATCTCCCATCCCGCGATTATCCCTGCCCCTTCATTACAAGAGAAAGATGAGAGGGAACCCTCCTCCACCCTCAGGGCAGATGCCCTGTCCCCAGAGCGTCCCTCTCCCTCCATCTCGGGAGCAGAAGTCCACTTACGATGAGCTTGCTTGCCCATTTCACACTGACCCCCGAAGCGTTCTAGAATTCCTTCTCTGATGATGCCAAGAACCTGGACAGCAACTTTCCGGGAACTTCTGACTTCTTATGACCACAAGTTCTCTGAGTCGGTTTGGGAATCTGTGTCTGTTCCCTTGTCAGTCTTTTCCAGCTAAGTCCGAGGAAAAAGAACCCAAAATGAGCAGATTGTTTTCTGAAATCTTGCCTTTCCCTGTTCTCTTGTTTGGAACCTTGCCGTAGCTTGTCCTCTCATAGCCTGAGGCGTTGTCGTGGTGTATAATTAGGTGTATTTAAAAATTCAGACACATTGCAATAAGGCGCAATGATTTCTTCATGGTTCTACTTCCAAATGTTGGGAAAGGTTTTCCTTGGTATTTTTTTTTTCCTGTGAGGCCATCACCTATCAGAAAACACGCCCTCCAAACAATGGATTGAATTGCCATCACATGTTGGTGTTCTCTCTCTGAAACCTTCTCTCCTCTCACAACACAGGTAGTAGAAAAGCATGCTGATCCTGAAGTCAACCTACTGCAGTACCTCAGGAAAGTGCGTATCCTTTCATTGTGCTGTAATCAACACAGACTCATCATGTAATCAACACAGACTCATCAAGACAGTCGCCTGTATTTGCTCTTGCTAATGGCCTTGGGTCCTGCTTTTCCAGTCTAGCTGGAGTGCAGAGACTGTGTCTGTAGATTCCAGTTTTATTTGTTTTGCTTCTTCACCCGAGCAAAACCAAAAGAGTCATCCAGTGAACCACACGTGTGCTCATTCTGGAAATCCTGTACCCCAAGGACACCCTGCTGGTGACTTCCTGTTCAGAAGGGTGAACGTACACATTTCTAGCCGATCGCGTCCAGGCAAATGCTCACAGGTGCATGTCACGGACAATAGCGCCCCACAGGTCGTTTCGCTGACTTGTCCTACACCCTTCGTAGTCCTTATCGGAGAAAACTAAGTTTTATTCATACATTTCACAATCTCAGAGTGCCGCGAAGGCACTCCCAGTTCTCCCCTGCAATCTTGACCCCTCCTAGCCTCCAAGGATTTCCATAAAACTTTCAGTAAATAATTACTCAAGAAGAAGCTCCTGAGTTTGGGGGCAGTGGTTGCACAAATCTATCCATGAGACAAAATTGCCCAGAACCATCCACCCACACATAATGTAAGTGCATGTACATGGGGACCTCAAAAAGTTCATGGGAAATGGAATGAAAAGTCTGAGTTTATTTTGGTGCAAATTGGCTCATCATCATATGTGGAGAATGTGTGTATTATGAAAAAACTGCAAGTAGTCCAGAAAATCTTGCATCAAAATAAACTTATTTTTTTAATAAACTTATACTTTTAATTCCACTACATGTAAGAGGTGAAAGCTGAATAAGTTGTTGTTTAGTTATCAGTATTACTCCAGTGTCAATTTTCTGGCTTTGACGTGTATCAAAAATATGCATCATATGCTATAGCTATGTGAGATGTCATCACTTAGAGAAAACTGGGATGTGGATATACAGTCTATACTATTTTTGCAATTCTCTATGAGACTATATTTCAAAATAAGTTTAAAACATATGATTGGCCGGCACTGTGGCTCAATAGGCTAATCCTCCGCCTTGCGGCGCCGGCACATCGGGTTCTAGTCCCGGTCAGGGCGCCGGATTCTGTCCCGGTTGCCCCTCTTCCAGGCCAGCTCTCTGTTGTGGCCAGGGAGTGCAGTGGAGGATGGCCCAAGTGCTTGGGCCATGCACCCCATGGGAGACCAGGAGAAGTACCTGGCTCCTGCCATCAGATCAGCGCGGTGCGCTGGCTGCAGCGCGCTGGCCGCAGCGGCCATTGGAGGGTGAACCAACGGCAAAAGGAAGACCTTTCTCTCTCTCTCACTGTCCACTCTGCCTGTCAAAAATATATATATATGGTTATGGAGCATGTATGGCATTCTAGGCACTGTGTTGGGCTGTAGGGATCCCAGAGTGAACAACACAGTGTTAGTTCCTCTTGCTGTCTTTTTTGCTTCCCAATATACACATCTGGAAGCACTACTTCATTTCTCCCTGTTCTTTCCTTGCCAACCTCTACTAAAAGATAGCCTGTGCCTGATACCTCTATTTCTCTCCAGACTCCTCCCTCTCTCTGCTGAACGGACCTTGCATTCTGTTCCTCCTCCGTCACTGTACCGCTCTGGCCATCCCACCTCCCATTGTCCCGATTCCACTCACAATCCACACGGGACACCCCCCACCCCGAGTCCTGCTGTCTCCCATTGGGCAGAAAACCCCATCACTGCCCTGCTGTACGATTTCTAAATCCCCGTCACACTTCCCCCATGCTTTCTCTAGAATCTTTCTCTAGACAACCCAAATGAAGAGACTCATGATATCAGGAGCACACTGGAAATTCATAGAATTTTTGAAAGAACCAGCCCTGGAATACCACCCCAGCCCCCCATTCCCCCAGCTCCTGAGCACCCCTCTGTATATTCCCTCTTGGTGCTGGTGATGCCCCATGTAAGTTAAGTCATTCCAGATAAAAAAAAAAAAAGGTCCACCTGGCACTTCCAGGCCCTGTCTTCTTTGTAAGTCCAGAAATGGGATCATGGATGTTACATGATACTGCAAAAGTCCTACAAGGTACTACATAAAGTTCATGAAAAGATGAAATTAAAAGCTAATGCATTTTTCCATAGCAGGTGGTTCTGATGGATGATCCATACAAGGAATGGGTATCTGTGGATAATCACACGGTCAGTGCCAGCCCACTTCACTCTCACAGGATTCCCTTTGCCTCTTTCAAAGAATTTTTCTTAAATCACTATTCATTATTTTGATTGTCTTCTCTTAAAGCAGGCTATCCACCTGATTAAAGCAGTCTCCCACAAAACCCCAATCTGCTGCTGACCTAGGCCCTGACTTGGCTGCCACCTCCAGAGGAAGCCACAGCCATACAAAGGGAAAACTTTGTTTGGGGGCATCCTCATCTCCCTTCCACTTTTCCACAGCCACCCTTCCACTTTTCCCAGGCCATAGGGATCCTTGGAGGCCCACCACCTCCCATTGGATCTCCACACCCAGCCCAGCTGCCCTGCCCAGACACGCTGCTGTGCAATCCTGTTTCACTTCTCTGTCAACACTAGCACCTGGATCTGCAGATCCAGAGAGTGAGTAGCCCACAGCTGCATGGGGCCACCAGGGTGTGACAGAGTAGAGTTGCTTAATCCCTGTGAGGGCCCGGGATGTCTCAGAAGCACCCCTAAACTTTTGCCCTTCACATACTCTTTGCTATGGCCCTGACATCTCTTGTAGCTCTCAAAACAATTCTTACTTCATTGAGCTAACAAGTGTTCCCAAGCACCAGGCACTCAGAGATAAGCTAGACAAAGATAACCTCTGGTTACACTTTAATTTGAATGCCTGGGACACACTAAATATGACTCCCGGTTTATCTGACACTTAATGGGGCCTCCCACATTTTATCTGGTAACCCTACCTACTGACGATCTTTAGGGACTGGAGTGCCTAAGTCAGGCACTTCTGCTGAGGGTATAAGAGGAAGCCTCAAACCAGCTCTAGGGTATCCAGGGGACAAAAGAGGTGGTGGAGCCCATTTTTCACATTTTCCTCAAGAAAACTTTAAAATGCCCATCACAGAACAGAAGTTCTGACAACATAAAAAGTGACCTCCCTCTCTGAGTCAAACAGCACCAGAATTCTTTACTTGGAAATTTTAGGACACCAAAAAAAAAAAAAAAAAAAAGAAAGAAAGAAAGAAACAACCCAGAAACAATCTCCTTGCCTTTCATGCCCTGTTCAATGGAGCAGTTAGCTGAAGTCTGACGCACATGACTCCCAGCCCTCTGCCTGCTGGTGAGAAGCTTGACTTCCCAGAACAGGCTCGGGCCCCGAGGTGGCAGAGCTGCTGGGACTCAGGGCAGAACAGAGGCGAGGGCTTGCACAGCCCCACTGGCTACTGCCAAGAGGAGGGTCCCGTGTCACCTCTTCACAGGCAGTGACTTCCAAGATGACAACTAGTCTTGACCTCCACCTGAGCCAAGTATGACCTTGACCTGTGAGACCCTTTGTAAACTTCTCCCAGAAAAGCTTCCGAGAAAACGCCAGTAGCTTCTGACAGAAGCAAAGCAGGGGACTTACATACATTGATTTTTCTCCCTTTGTGAAAATATGCAGCCATCTCACAAGCAACGGGTGCACAGTGATTGTTGGAATGGCTGGTTCAGGGGCTATGGTTATGAAATTAATTTTCTCTAATCCCATAAGAAGGTAAAAGCATAACCTTGTTGCACCAGGAAAAGTTAAGCCTCATGTGGACCTTTTTATTTTTTTAAGATTTATTTATTTATTTGAAAGTCAGAGTTACACAGAGAGAGAAGGAGAGGCAGGCAGAGAGAGAGAGAGAGAGAGAGAGAGGAAGGAAGAGAGGGAGGGAGGGAAGGAGAGGTCTTCCATCCACTGGTTCACTCTCTAACTAGCCGCAATGGCTGGAGCTGTGCTGATCCAAAGCCAGGAGCTTCTTCCTGGTCTCCCACATGAGTGCACATGGGTGCACATGGGTGCACGTGGGTGCAGGGGCCCAAGGACCTGGGCCATCTTCTACTGCTTTTTCAGGCCATAGCAGAGAGCCGGATCGGAAGTGGAGTGGCCGGGACTCAAACCAGCGCCCATATGGGATGCCGGTACTATAGGCGGCGGCTTTACCCACTACGCCACAGCGTCAGCCCCGTGGATCTTTTTCTAAGTTCCTCCCACAAGCCACTTCCTACTACCTCCGCAGCAGTAACATTATGCAGGTCCAGCATCCAGCGTCCAGAACTCTGAATTCAACAGACTTTTTGCATCTCGCTTGAATGCAAACCCTGAGATCAGGCTCTATGTAGACTTCATGCATCCTCCTTGGCATGACGATGCATATGGTTCACCGCAAAAATAGGAATGTGTTTGATTTCAAGGTGCTGCCCCAGACCCACTGGGAGCGCGATGCCATCACCTTCCTAAAATCTGCAAATTTCTAAATTCAGACATGCATCTGGATCCGAGGTTTCCAGATAAGGCAGTGCGAGTCCCTAGGGATTTCTTTGTCTCTTTCATCAGCTGTCTCATTTCTAAGAAGCAAAAAGCTGAGCAATTTCTCCAAGCAAGGATCCTCTGACCAGTTCAGTACAGGACAACATGTTGCTTGTTAACAACATCCAAGGGAGAAAAATGCTAAAGCCCAAAGCACCTGTGTCCCCGTTTTCCTTGACTTCCACCCTTGAAGTCCGTCTCACAGGCACTAAATATGCCTGTGGAGGAGGGGGCTGTGGTGCCTGCACAGTGATGCTGTCAAGATACAACGTCAAGACCAAGAAGATCCAGTATCCTTCGTGGGGGCTTAGACCGCGCTGGGCACATCTCGGGGGTCGGGGAGGGTGTGGAGCCTCCTAATGTCCCTGCTGGTCTGCACTCCTCCCTCTTCTCTCCTGGCGTCCGATGCACGCACACAGCCTCCAGACCTGCTCCTCCTGACACCTCCCCTTTCTCGATCCTTCCCACATTCTTCCTAGCAGAATTGTGATCCCCATCCAGCGTGCCCGTCTCTTGGGGCTCTGCTCTCCGCTACCCTAAACTAGCACAAAGATAGTCCTGGTGGGAGGTTTGGGTCTTTGCCGCACACTAAGATTTGTTTTTCTGGAAGGGCTAAGCAAGACTCAAATCCTGCTAGGTGACTCAGTGAGCCCCACCTTCACTGAAAAATGTAATCAGCTTGCTGAGTGCATGTGAAGAGATGCCCAGCCCAAGTCCCTCCCGGGCTTTGTCTTAGATGACTAGGTGGTGGTGCAGGGGCAGTTCAGAAATCAGAGAAGTTGTAGAGGGAGGGGTAGAGGACGGGAAAGTGGCATGGGGACATACTGCATTGGAGATAATGATGGGACAGCTGGGAGGGACTGTCCAACAGGCATGCAGATAGATGTGTCTGCTACTTAAAGACAGGCTCTCCTGTAAGTTATGTAACTTCTTGTTAGTTATCAGTGTAAACAATAGCAATAATAATGAGAAAAATGGTATTTATTGAATACTAAATGTACCAGGGCTGTTCAAAGTAGTTCACTTACATGATCATATTCAGTCCCCGAAGTCACTTTGAGGAAGCCTTTGCTACCTCAGTCACATTTTACAAAGAGCAGACCGAGACCAAGAGGGTGAAACAGCTTGCTCCAGGCGTCATGGGCCAGTGAGTGGAGTCTGCATGTCGTAAGCCCAGGCCACCTGGAAGGGAATAGGCACTGCTGGAGGGTGTGTGAGCGTAGGACATATAGAACAACAGAAATGGAAACAGCCAAAGAAAGAAACCCCCACTATAAGACCAGCAGGGAGAAGCTGGAGTTGAAGGAAGAAATTCACTCTCCAAATTGTGGTACCCCGTCCCTAAGATTCCAGTGGATTCTCTTTACATAATTCCACCACAGCCACTACCCAGTCACAGCCTGCCTGGTGCCTGTCTGCTCTCTGCATGGGGCTGCGGTTACCACGGTGGAAGGAGTAGGAAGCATCAAAACCAGGATTCACCCCGTGCAGGTAAGAGCTCAAGGCGACCAGACCCGGATGTTGGTACGGGGATCCTACATGCTCTGACGTTACCTCACTGGGGCACCAACTTTGAAATCGGTTGCTTCCTAACTAGGGATCTTTTCAGATATCTTTTCAAGATTCTTTCACTGACGTGAATACATCGTAACCCCGAGGAATTTCTCAGCCGCAGCCTCGCCGTGACCTTAGACAAGAACAGGCCAGTGTGACAAGAGGAGAAAGCGAGGTTGAAAATGGGGCGTATATGGAGGACGCTAGCTGTCAAACCCACTTCAGAATCGCTAGACTCTGAAATAGAGGCACTTGTGTGTTCAAACACTCCCCGAATGCTCGCCAAACATCTGTCCAGTAACCATCCAATGTGCTGCAATAAAACACAGCTAAAATAGCACAGTGCTTGCTAAGGTTTAGAGGACTTTTTAAAGAAATGACAGTGTTGTTTTCACAAACTAGAATAGGAACCTCTGCAGGTGGTGCTTTTAAAGCAGTGTGCAGGAAGAAAATTATGAAAACTATATTTTCCCTTGAGTCTCTTCTCTTGAAAAGCTGTGGTGAGAACGTAGAGGCCAAGAGCTTGCTCTGACATGCTAGCTCTGATCTGCACCTGTTAATAGTGCATGTCTTTCAGCCACAAGCTTACCGATTTCTTTTTTCTCATTAAGGTCTTACCCTTCCTTCTTTCATCACCTTAACAGCATGGAAGTGCTTCCTGCTGTACTTGTCAGATTTGTTTCTCTCAAGTTTTTGAGCATATAAATGCTAGGGTGGTCAGCAGTGCCCTAGAGAAGGCTTGGACTGCCTTATGGGAGCCAATTGTTCAGTTTTCCAGAACTTGGCAAACCAGTCTTTAAACACAGCCATTGTTTAAAACTAAATAATGTATAGAATAATACCAGTCCTGGTGGCAGTGTTTATAGTACAAAAATTGGCAGAAGATAAAAATCAGGTCTTTTTTCTCCCACATAGCTGGTTGTGAGGCATTCCCAGGCGGGTTTACGTGCCATGTCGGAAACAGCTTGCCGGCTGGCGGTAAATCCAACCCAGCTGCATTTCCCTCTGGCGTTAGAACCAGGCCTGTCCTTTCACAGACGAAGCATTTGACTCTCCTTTTGGGAGCCCTGCCATTTGGAAAATGCTTATGTTAAACATTTGAGTCGCACTCAAGCCAGCCAGTGGAGCAGCCTGTGAGAAGTGTGTGAAACATGTCCGGGTCACAGCCCCGTCTGCACCCCTACAGTAGAGTCTGTGTAGATCACAGGAACTCGTCGAGTTTCACCTTGTCTTCTATTTTTTCCCGGCACTTCAGTGTATAAAGTTAAACAATCATCTATTATGTGAGTTTCACAATGCTATGAAGAAACCCTCGACAATTATCAAAGCATTCCTATAGATGATGACAGCTAATCCATCAAAAACTGTCCTACGGATGGAGAAAGAGATGGAAATGAGTTGCCAAAGACTGTGCTAAATGATTTTCTCACACTCATTCATTCATTCCCGTAACTACCTTGTAGAGATCATTATTGTTCCAAAGTCAAAGAAAGTGAAGAAAATGTCAGGAAAATCACCAAGGCTCCCTGAATTAATGAGTTGCCCAAAACTCACATGAGAATCACTCCAAAGTATTTCACTTGCTCCTCTTAACTATATTTTCTTCTTCACAGCGAATGAAACCAGGAGAAAAAAGTGACTTAATACCTGCCACTAGGCTTTTCTCAAGGGCAAAAAGTAGTATGCATATGACTTCCAGAAATGAAAGATTTTTCTTCCTTGGGATCTTTTTTTAAAAGATTTATTTATTTATTTATTTATTTATTTATTTGAAAGGTAGAGTACAGAGAAGGAGGGAGAGAGAGAGAGAAAGAAAGGTCTTCCAGCCATTGGTTCACTCCCCAAATGACCACAATGGCCAGAGCTGGGCCAATCTAAAACCAGAAGCCAGGAGCTTCTTCCAGGTCTCCCACATGGGTGCAGGAGTCCAAGGACTTGGGCCATCTTCTACTGCTTTCCCAGGCCATAGTAGAGAGCTGGATCAGAAGTGGAGCCGCTGGAACTCGAACCAGTGTCCATAGGAGGTGCCGGCACTGTAGACGGCAGCTTTACCTGCTGCGCCACAGTGTCGCCTTCCCCTCATCCCCCCCCCCCCCCCCCAGATATCTTTTACCTCAGAGTTGTTTTTCAAAAGGTAAATACACAAGCTCCGCTGCTTGCTGGTGCCCAGGCAGGGAAATGCAGAGCCAAGGCATACATGGTGCACCCTTCTCCCCCAGGAGAGACTCGCCAAGTGCCACGGCACCCAGTGCGGATTCTGCAGCCCAGGCATGGTGATGTCCATCTACACGCTGCTGAGGAACCACCCCGAGCCAACCCCTGAGCAGATAATGGAAGCTCTTGGAGGTGAGCCTGGTTGGTGCTCTGCGGGCAGGGCGCTGTGTGGAAGGTGTTCCGGTAAGCAGAGAAGGAGGCCCAGACCCCTTGCACAGTGGTGGGGTCCAGGCACCTGGCCAACATGCAGATGTCCTCTGTGCCTGTCCTGAGCAAGTCCTTTCCTGAGGGCTGTCTTTGTTGAATCGGGCAGTGCTGACTTCACGGTACAATCTTTCCCTCCGTGGAACTCTGTGTCGCTCGGCAGGGGCACTTAAATGGGCTATTTCTGCACTCTTAACACGATCTTTTCCCAGTGTGGAAATTTGGGTAGTGGGAAAGATGGAGAACCTACTCAGTGCTTTTTTTTTTTTAATAAATCTGATACTTCATACTTTTATGCTTTCTCTCTCTCTCTTTTTTATCTGGAGATTTATTTTATTTATCTGAAAGGCAGAGATATGGAGAGAGAAAGAAAAAGAGAGAGAGAGAGATCTTCCATCCGCTGGTTCACTCCCCAAATGGCCTCAATGGCCAGGGCGGGGCCAGGCTGAAGCCAGGAGCCAGGAGCTTTATCTGGGTCTCCCACATCAGAGCAGGGCTTGGGCCATCTTCCGCTGCTTTTCCCAGGCACACTGGCAGGGGACTGAATTGGAAGTGGAGCAGCTGGGATTAGAACCAGAGCCCATGTGGGATGCCGGCACTGCAGGCTGCAGCTTAACCCATTGTGCCACAATGCCATACTTTAAGTTTTCATTGATTCATTACAAGGTCAAGGAGATCATAGATGACAATCAGTTATCACAAACTTAGTGAGCAATTCAATCTCCTGTGACAAAAAAAGCTTTCAATTTAAGTGAACAAGTACAACTTTCTTTTAAAAAAGAAGAAGGAGGAGGAGGAGGAGAAAGAGGAGAAAGAGCCCCTGTTCTGGGGGAATTCGAGTATATCTAAGTCAACCCTTGCCTCTCTACAAGCTTCCGGCCCCCCAAAGGAGGTGAGGCACATCATTAATGACCCTGCTAGGGGCAAGGTCCACAGAAGCCCACAGACAGGAAGCAGCACGACTCTGATGGGATATCAGGTCAGACACCATGGAGAAGGGGACTGAGACCTTGGGAAATAGCCCCGGCCCTCTCCCCTTGAGAGGGCATTTGAAGAAGAGACTGCCTGAGGAAGGCTTGGCAGAAGGCTACACGTGAGGTGTTATGGGAGTGGCAAGTGCGCAAGTTAGGACAGGGCAAGAAATAAGGCAGCGAGAATTGGTTGGGAGCCAGACCCAGAAAGACGAACATCACATGTGTTCTCTTATTTGTGGACACGAATACACAGAGAGAGTATGAAAGTTGTGTGGATGTCATACCATTTGGTATCTAGTTATAAACAGAGCTCCATGGACGCATACCACATAAATGACAAGACATCCACTTTCCCCACATTATGATCCTTGTCCTTTGTAGTACTACTACCGCTGTTTTCAAGAAAAAATAGTATATGTATGTGTGTAATATTTTACTTTTGCAATGAATGTCAAAAATGTTGAGATACTTGTTAAATTTTAAAAATTATAGTAAAAAAAAAAGTGGGAAAAGCCATGGAGATCTGTGTGATATTTCAGTGAGCAAATGCAATGATAAGATCCATGTTTGAAGAAATCGCTAAAGGGAATATTTGTTCCAAAGAAATTTAATGCTTTTGGGGGACAAAAAAGTATCTATTAACATTGTGGCTATTCCTCTGAAAACATGAAGCAGGTACATGCCATGTATTTCTTCTATGTTCCCTAAATTTGGTCCCTTCTTTAACAGGTAATCTGTGTCGCTGTACTGGATACCGACCAATTGTAGAAAGTGGAAAAACTTTCTGTGTGGTAAGTTAAGAAAGTTTTCATTCTGTTGACTCAATACATTAGTGAGCCTTTGTATAAAATAACCTATTACACTCAAATAATCTCTAAAATCATCCACATTGACCTTTCAAACAAATGAAAGTTTTTAATGCCCATTGTTATTTGTCTTAATAAATTCATATCATGTATTGTTTGTACTCTAAATTTGACACATTCCTGGAAAGTGTTATATATGGCCTGAGACGTTAAGAAATGCATACTCCATTGAAGCAAATGAAGTGTAGAAAGCATAATTTAAAAGCAAGATATTAAAAAGTCCATGATGTCCTACATAGACTCACACATGCATATACATTTTGAAAGAATTTGGAGTAAGGAGAATTCATGAACGGCATGAAGAGAAGATAGAGAGGGTACCTACTGAGATAGGGAGATTAGAACAGGCCCCTAAAGGAAGAAATACAAGTCAATGGTGAATTGAGAATTCCACTAAGAAAGTGCATGGATACAGGGAAAAGAAAGATGTCCAAGGTCCAGGTTAGAAATCGATGTGACTGGGGGCCGGCACAGTGGCGTAGCGGGTAAAGCCGCTGCTTGCAGTACCACCATCCCATATGAACACGAGTTCGAATCCCAGCTGCTCCACTTCCGATCCAGCTCTCTGCTATGGCCTGGGAAAGCAGTAGAAGATGGCCCAAGACCTTGGGTCCCTGCACCCACGTGGGAGACCCAGAAGAAGCTCCTGGCTCCTGGCTTTGGCTTGGCCTAGCCCTGGCCATTTGGGGAGTAAGCCAGTAAATGGAAGATTTTTGTCTGCCTCTCTCTCTTTCTCTCTCTCACTGTAACTCTGCCTTTCAAATAAATAAAATAAATCCTTAAAAGAAAAAAGATACATTCTGCATGCCGTTGAGGTAAACAAAATAATCTGTTTGGGTTTCTAAATTACGGTGATAACAGCACTCCTTGTATCTCACGTCTGGTAGGAAGTCTCAGCTGGCTGATCCCACCCACCTGGAACCCCCTTTGCCTTTCCACAAGATTTGAGTGACATGGTTTACAAGACTCTGCATTGAGCATGGCTGCACCTGCTGCAATTTTCTCTGATTGCTCAGTGATGGAATAGCTTGCTCTCTGCCCTGCCAGGTACTCAGGTAGTTGTTTAAAGAAATAGCCAATGAATTTTCTTGAAACTGCCTTATTTCCCAAGGAATCAACCATTTGTCAAGTGAAAGGAACAGGAAAATGTTGCATGGATCAAGAAGAGAAGTCTTCTCTGGGCAGTCAAGAAAAAGTAAGTATCTAGTTTTCCACGTCAGTTGGGACTGACTGAAAATACCCAGACTCATTCCATTTTCCTATTTTTTTTTTCAATGAGTAAAATACAGAATAAGTGAATTCAGGGCTTAGACGGCCTTTACAACTCCCAAATGAGCAATCCCATGACTTCCGTGATAGTGGGCACTGGAGAAGGTGGATTTCCTTTGGAAGCCTTGCAGGTTTCTGCACCTTCATCTGGGTTTGCCAGTCCCCCATTGGCACTAAGAGGGACAAAGCAGCAGCACACCCACAGGTTCATGGCCAAGAACATCTGCAAGTCACACCTGAGATCAAGCACAAACAGACAGGAGGGAGACCAGAGCCCAGTGCAATACAGGGGACGGCATCCCTAGGTCCTGTGAGGGTGGGAAGCATCCCATCCAGGGCCACCCACTGGCTCTGGCACCCCAGTTACTGTTGTGTGTAGGAGAGGTAGAGAACCTGACTCTGAAGTTAGACTTCTACATCTCTCTGAGCAATGCTGAAGCTCCACTCGTGTTTTGTTTCTTTGTTTTGTTCAGCTGTGTACCAAACTGTATAATGAAGATGAATTCCAGCCCTTGGATCCATCCCAGGAGCCTATATTCCCTCCTGAACTCATAGTAAGATACTTTACTCTTGTTGTCTCGTTACGTGATATGTATGATGCATGCCTTTTTGTGTTACACTGCGGATGTACTAAGTTTCAGAATTGAAAGTCGGAAGTGTGTCCCAAAGCACACTAAGGGAGCAGCAGTCCGTGCTGAGAGACTTGCTCGTTTCTACTGTAAGTAGTGGACGCAGACAGTTGGTCAGAGTGTTGCTGCCGGGACATCAGAGACATCAGAGGGTCGAAGCCCCGGGGTCCGCTGAAGCCCCTGAGGCCCGAGTGGACGTGACTCGGGCGAGGTCGCACAGCTTCACTGTGAGAGACCTTCCAGGCAGTTTGCAAAAGCAGCAAAGGAAGACTGCAATAATCCTTAGAAGAATGGAGTTACCTATCCCCACCATGGACTCTGTGGTTTCAACTCACCGGGGAGACAAAGAATGTATGTAGTGCGGCAGGCCGGGGTTCCAATCCTTGTCTGGGAAGAACATGAGCTGAGAGGTAGGCTCATGCTGGCTTCCCAGAAGGCCTCTGTCCCCACAGAGGGCAGGAACTTGGATGTCCTGGGTGTGGCACTAGTGTGAAGATTCAAGTCCTGTAGATAATATGTATATACATATCACTACATAAGTATATATCTATGTAGTTACGTGTCTGTATCTATACAGGTGTGTATGTATATCTTCAGATTTGTGGGAAAAAATCCAATTACCCTATAGGTGGTGAATGATTTAAAAGCTTTTTTCCCAAGGACAATTTTGTTTATGAGCTATTTTTGATCTCTTGACTTCCGAGTCATTTTTAGAGCAAAATTGGCACAGGAAGCCTGGCACTTTGATTCCAGGCTAAGACACAGTGACTATACCGTGTTGTTTCGTCTTCCCAGACTCCCTTCACAGATACAGATGGAGACTGCTCCATATCCGGTCGTTGGTGGACACCCATCATGATATTTCTTCAGTGATGCCCACTCAGAGCTGACTGGCCTGGGTTCTTCCACATAGACCACTCTTTCCTCATCCCGCCAGGCTGGATTTCCACAGGAAAAATGACCAGCAGACCCCTGGGACGCCCAGAGCGGTGCCTGAAAGTGGTGTTGGTTTTGTTTCTCTGCAGAGAATGGCAGAAGACCCAAAGAAGAGGAGGCTGACGTTCCAGGGGGAGAGGACCACCTGGATCACCCCCGTGACCCTGGAGGACCTCCTGGAGCTCAGAGCCAAGTTCCCCAAAGCGCCGCTGGTCATGGGGAACACCACGGTGGGTAAGTGCTCAGTACCAGCGCTCTTTGGCCCAGCTGAGGTGAGCTGGTACTTCTCTGTCTCTTTATCAACTCTTCATAAACGCTGTTCATGTTTATTAATGTGACCGGTGGCCCTTCTGAATGCTCTGTTTTGCAAGCAAGCCATTCAAGCCACAACTTTCATTCTGGCTTATCAATAAGCAACATCTGTTAGCATTCATGGTCTCCTCTAGCTTTTCTAATTACGTTAAATACTTTCTCCCTTAAGGACACAACATTAAATTTGAAGATAAATTCTACCCAGTTTTCCTATCTCCACTGGGGCTCCCAGAACTGTATTTTGTGAACACCACAGATGATGGTAAGTAAGCACCACCTCCTTCAAATAAAATGCACCCATTGGCTGTTGGTGAGCCCTCTGCAATGAATGACATGCACCAGATGACTTTGAGTCAGCCTGTAGAACCAGATGGGTGTTTCTTGACCTCTCGTCACTATCACCCAGCTAAGGAACAATTTCCTTCCATGGCGTTTTAATACCACAGATGAACTGTGTGTCTGTTTCTGTGTGGTATGTGTCTCAGTACTTTATACATATTTCATTCCCTTGGAGACAGTACTGAGCCCATCAGGAATGCATCAATTAGATGACACCCCTACTGAAACCATCCCCCGTCAGCACACCTGCATATAAAACGGACCCAAAATACAGGCAGGTGTCTAGTGTTGTTATTTTTGGAAAAAAACCTAAGGGAGCAGTAAGAAGACATGAATAGGGAAGAAGTGCAAATGAGCAATGCAAATGTTGCAGGTCAATTCCCACTTAGACTAAATAGTCTTTTAAAAATCTTGTAGAACTGTGACTAGAATGTCCATATTTGGTCAGTTTATTTGGGGAAAACTAAATGAAGTAATGCCTTTTAGATGTCTATGGAAAATGACTAAGAAAAATAATTTGGTATTTAGTATCTGGGAATAAGAACATTGGAAAAAGAAAATTAGCAGAAGGACATTTAATTTCCTTTGGTTTTGTCATTTCAAGCAAATATAGACAGAGGAGATTATTTAAGAGATGGTGTCCATGCAACCTGTCTTGTGACTTGTCACTTTAAGCTTAGAGTTTATTTTCTTTGCAGGGGTGACCATTGGTGCGGGATACAGCCTGGCCCAGCTGAATGACGCCTTACAGTTTATCGTTTCGGAGCAACCGAAAGAGAGGACCAAGACCTTCCGCGCTCTCCTCAGTCACCTGAGGACGCTTGCAGGAGCCCAGATTAGGAACATGGCTGTATGTTCTCTGTTGTCATATAACATAAGCAGCTAGGGGCAGCCCTACAGTTCTCTTCAGTTTAGCAAATTCCTGAGTATGTAATTTTTATTTGTCAAATAACCATCATAGCTTTTTAAGTGTCACCTTTTTTTAATTTAGACCGTAGGAGGACACGTGGTGACCCGGCCTCGTTTTTCTGACCTAAATCCCATTTTGGCTGCAGGAAATGCTATCATCAATCTGATATCTAAAGGTAAGAGACCACACTGTGGGCGTTCTACACGTATTTTGCACCTATTCCGTCTGTTTCACAGCTCTTACTGGAAACCATGAGATAGAGCCCCAGGAATGTCTAGTTAGACTCAGGCTGCTTAAACCACCTTGGACCTAAGGAAGAAACTGATCAATCACCCTGCTCCCCAGATGCTCTGGATCTTGAAGATAAGATCCTTACTGCACCTGACAACCCTTCTTAATGATCTGGCCACATTTCTGAGCAGCCCCAATTGTTGTATCAAAGCAATCGCAGAAAAAGTTAAGAGTCCTCTCTGTGGTTTTAAAGGTTTATGGCTATTTTATTTCAGAGCCTCATAAAGTAGCAATTTTTCTTATAGGACTTTCCATTTTAAATAAAAATCAAGTTTATGCTTCCCTCTTTACTCAAAAACATTTTGAACTTTGTGAAGGAAAATGATTTAAATTTAAGGATATAAAAGCAAATACAAATATTCAAAGGGCTATTGATGTGAGATACGTTCTTTTTGATTAAAAACTACATTTAATAAACAATATTATAGCTCAAATAAGACAATATGGCAAGCTGTTTAATACTATACATATATCTTCCATTAGTCTTTTGAGATTGTCATTGTAGAGGTCTTCCATATTCTTGGTTAAGTTTAATCCCAAGATATTTAATTTTGGGTAGCTATTAGAAATGGGATTGTTTTTATAAAATTTTTCTCAGTAAGACCATTGTTACTGTCTAAAAATTGTACTGATTTTTGTGTGTTGGTTTTGTATCCCTCAACTTTGCTGAATTCTCTCATTTTTTAAGATTTATTTATTTATTTGAGAGGCAGAGTTACAGAGAGAGAGAGAGAGAGAGAGAGAAGTCATCCATCAACTGGTTCACTCCCCAAATGGCTTCAACAGCTGGAGCTGGACCAATCCGAAGCCAGGAAGCAGGAGCTTCCTCTGGGTCTCCCATGTAGGTGCAGGGGCCCAAGGCCCAAGCACTTGGGCCATTCTCCACTGCTTTCCTAGGCCATTAGCAGGGAACTGGATCGGAAGTGAAGCAGCTGGTACTTGAACTGGTGCTCATATGGGATGCTGGCTCCACAGGCCTAACCTACCATGCCACAGCACTGGCTGCTCATATCAGTTCTAATAGGCATTTGCAACAAAGTGGATGGAACTGGAGATCATTATGCTAAGTGAAATAAGCCAAGCACTGGCAAATTCCATAGGTTTTCTCTCATATGTGGAAGTTTATATATTTAAATTTATATATATAGTATAAAATATAAAATTATATAGTATAAAATAATCTGTGGATGACACATCACTTGGCATATAGATATTTATAAGCATTATGTTCACTGAATTATATCCCTTACATAATAATATACTACTCTTCCCTCATTTTATGATTCTTGTTATGAATCTCAAATCACATAATGTAAATATCCTTGCTTTCAAGAAAAATAGTGTATATGTGTATGTATCTAATATTTACATATGAAGCAAATATGGCAAAATGTTGAAAAAATTTTTAAAATTAATTCAACGATAAAAAAGGACAAATATATATGTATGTCCAAAAGTTAACAGCAAAATGGAATTAAAAGATAAGTTAGGGACCCACGCTGTGGTGTAGCAGGTTAAGCATTCACACCTGGCATGCCGACATTCCTGGAGTCCCGGCTGCTCCACTTCCCATCCAGCTCTCTGCTGTGGCCTGGGAAAGCAGTGGAAGATGGCCTAAGTCCTTGGGCCCTGCACCTGCGTGGCAGACCCGGAAGAAGCTCCTGGCTCCTGGCTTCGGATCGGCCCAGCTCCAGCCTTTGTGGTCATTTGGGAAGTGAACCAGTGGATGGAAGACCTCTCTCTGTCTGTCTCTCTCCCTGTCTGTAACTCTGCCTTTCAACTAAATAAATAAAATCTTTTAAAAAAATGTTTATTTGGGTGCAAAAAAGTCTGGAATTCATGCATTCTCTCTTTTTATAGATAGGAGATAGATAATTTTCCCCTCAGGGATCTGTTCTGAAAGCTCCCTCCCCCATAATGAAAATCCAAGGACACTGAAGTCCCTTTTACAGGATGGCATAGCAAGTGCACATAACCAGTACAGACCCTGCTTACTTACAATATCTATTCTAATGCAAATTACATGCAAGCAGTTGTTGCCCTGTATTGTTAAGTGAATAATAACAAGGAAAAAAGTCCATACAGGTTCAGTACAAACACAATTTTTATTTTCAGTGTGAGGTTGGTTTAATCCTCAGATGTGGAACCCCTGACACAGAAGGCTGTTTGTGTGTGTATGGTGTGAATACATATATCTACATCTCCGTGTATACAAGCAGTCTTCAGAAAGTTCACTGTAAAAGAATAGAAAAAATTGTGCATGGATTTAAAAAAAATTGGCATGAAAATAAACTTACCTTTCAATTCCATTTTTCCATGAACTTTTTGAGGTACGTGTGTGTGTGTGTGTGCACGTGCGTGCATGTGGTGTGTGAGAGAGAAACTCCACCTTGGCCACTAGTTCCCCACCCCCAGGACTTTGGCAGTGTCACTTAACCTCTCCATTCTCCTGCTAGTGACATCCCAGCACAAGTATTGTACTGAGTTGTTTCCAAGTAGCTTTAAAGTTCCAGCCCGAACTTTGTGAGCGGTGTATAGCAGGCTATGGGAACCAGAACAGACTTCTCAGTTTGTCTGGCCCGCCCCTGTCATTCTGTAGACAACCACCCCAAAACTTCCCCAACGCTCCTCGGGTGCCCCAGGCTGGGAGCTGGACTCCTCTCGCTCTGCCAGTCATCCCGTCCCACGCGGGCTGCGCCAACCTGGCCAGCTCGTCCTAATCAAGGCCATTTCTCCCACAGAAGGAGAACGGCAGATTCCTTTGAACGGCCCTTTCCTGGAAGGATCGCCCGAGGCCGACCTGAAACCGGAAGAGATTGTGCTGTCGGTTTTCATCCCTTACACTGCTCAGGTGAGCGCTCCCGGACTCACTCCCCGGCTGCGGGAGGCCCCGCTCGCCCTGTGCGGCTTCTGGGGCAGCAGCCTCCTCCTCCCTGGGCTGAGCCAGCGGTCTCCTGGAGACTGCCTGGGCTGAGCACAGGGGAGGGAGAATGTCCCGCTGGCCATTTGATTTTGTTACAGGCCGCGGAGGGGGGGGGGGGGGGGCGGTTACAGGAGCGAGTTTCCTGGGCTCTTTTCCGCAGCCTGGTATAGAAATAAAAAGCCGGGAAACAATTTGCAAAGAGGCAGAAACTTTTGCTAGACAGAAAAGAAACTTTCATTTGATGGGCAAGAGACAGAAAATACTTCTGGTCCAAGAGGAGAGCAGGTGGAGAGGCCGAGCTGGACACTGACTTTGAGGAAGTGACCTGGGTTTTTTTTTTTCTTTTTTTTTTTTTAAGATTTATTTATTTATTTGAAAATAAGAAGTTACACAGAGAGAGAAGGAGAGGCAGAGAGAGAGAGAGAGGTCTTCCATCCGCTGGTTCACTCCCCAGATGGCCACAATGGCTGGAACTGCTCCAATCCGAAGCCAGGAGCCAGGAGCTTCCCCCCGGGTCTCCCATGTGGGTGCAGGGGCCCAAGGACTTGCGCCATCTTTTACTGCTTTCCCAGGCCATAGCAGAGAGCTGAATCAGAAGTGGAGCAGCCGGGAATCAAACCAGCCCGCATATGGGATGCCAGCACTGCAGGCAGCGCCTTTACCCCCTATGCCACAGCACAGGCCCATATAATTTTAGTTTAAAAGAAATTAAAAGTAAAACATTCCCATGGACTTGTTAAAAGCATCTTGGGCTCTATCTCTGTGCCTAAAGAATATATTGGCCCTGCTATAGAAGAACTTTTATGTGAGTTGAATTTCTGATTTCAGATAAACATTCATCCTAGCCACAACTGAGTAAGTCTACAGTCAATATCATCTACATCAAGTTCATTGTCATCATGATACTTAACCGTCAACCAACATTTATTAACCAGATAGTCTAAATAAAACTGCTTGTGTGTTAACCACCTCCCACTCTATATCCCTGGCGCAGTGCTACACCTGGAAGACACTAAGAGAGTCTGTCGCCCCGTCTCCAACAAGACGGGCTTGAAATGGGAAGAAGAGAGTCACCTAGCACAGGAAATAGAGTAGTTCCAGTGTGTGGTTGAGCCCTCGTTCCTTGGAGTGATTCGAAGGGCAGGGCAGGCAGCTGGGGTAGAACACGGAGGATGGCAGCCTCTGAATCGGGGAGGAGGGGCAGTCGCTCCTGTGAGGGGAACTACGTGGGCGTGGATGGTGGCAGGGAGCAGCAGGGAGCAGGGCCCTGTGGTCAGAGCAGCCCAGTGAGGTGCGCGCCTGGGAGGCATGCTGGACTCCATCGCAGAGTGGGAGTTTGTACTTGTTGGCAGAGGGCCACCCTTGAAAGCTTCTAAACAAAGTTGAATTTCAAGAGAAATAGTATTTTGAGACTATGACCCCAGTAGAAAGGTGGAGGATAAATTGGCTGGGGGAGAGACTGCAGTAACTGAGGAAGGCGATGGTAAGGGTTGTTAGCAGCCGGAACGGAGGGACGAGTCCCCACCAGTCAGTACGGGGGGTGGGGTAAATATGCCCAGTGCGTCTAAACACTTCTTTATCACCGGCACTTTCCATCTCAAAAACAGCTTGGTTCCCATGTTCCATTCTAGCAGAGGTCACAGTTTAGACTGAAAAAGGTCAGACCTCCTGACCTTCCCCTCAGCCCACTCAGCAGCTCCTAAGGCACCATGCAGCCAAAACCAATCATCTCATTTGGAAGAAAAAAGTAAGACCCAAAGAGTTTTAAGTCCCTTGGCCAGGGTCACATATGGAGATTCTGAGTTGAAAGGCGGGCGTATTGTATAGGGCTAATCATAGACTCTGGAGCCAGACTGCTTGGGTTCCAACCTCAGCTCTGCTACTTACTGGGTGATCTTGTGCAAGTTACTTAACCTCTGCATTTCTATGCACTGGGAATGAGTAGGATTAGTGTGAGAATTCAATAAAAATACATATGACGTGTGCAGGACAGACCTCACAGGCAGCCAACAATGTTGTTGGTAACAGCACCCACCATGGCATCTTTTCATTATACATCACCATCAAAGTTCTTGCTGAATGGCAGATGGCAGGGATAAGCCCTAAATACTCTGAAGGGTTTTCTCTCTCCAGGGGCACTTCGTGTTGGGGCTCCGGCAGGCTCAACGGCAGGAGAACGCCTTTGCCATTGTCAATGCCGGGATGAGTGTGAAGTTTGAAGATGGCACAAGTACAATCAAGGACCTTCAAATGTTCTATGGAAGTGTCGCCTCCACTGTTGTGGCTGCCAAACAAACCTGCCAGCGGCTCCTTGGGAGGTATGCCTCAGCACAGCGGGGACAGGCAACTTGGGCCTTTCCGGTTTTAATTTTTTAATGAAAATAGCACTTGGGGGATTTTTTTTCTGTTTATTAATAATATAGAAATATCGGCCGGCGCCGCAGCTCACTAGGCTAATCCTCCACCTTGCGGCACCGGCACACCGGGTTCTAGTCCCGGTCGGGGCGCCGGATTCTGTCCTGGTTGCCCCTCTTCCAGGCCAGCTCTCTGCTGTGGCCCGGGAGTGCAGTGGAGGATGGCCCAAGTGCTTGGGCTCTGCACCCCATGGGAGACCAGGATAAGTACCTGGCTCCTGCTATCGGATCAGCACGGTGTGCTGGACACAGCGCACCGGCCGTGGCGGCCATTGGAGGGTGAACCAACGGCAAAGGGAGACCTTTCTCTCTGTCTCTCTCTCTCACTGTCCACTCTGCCTGTCAAAAAAAATTTAAAAAAAATAATAATATAGAAATATCATAGAAAATTTAGGCTCTGCAGAAAAGTACAAAAAAGTATAAGCTGCCCCAAAGCCAAGTCTCGTCAAGGTACAAAGATTCTTACATTGCAGGTTTCTGCAACAAGACTAAGGTACAGTGGAGCAGGTGTTTGTGGCAGTGGTTAAGATGCTTCTTGGGATACCCACAGCCCATATCCAAGGCCCTGGGTTTGAGTCCCGGCTCCACTCCCAATCCAGGGCCAGCTATTGCACACTCTGGCAGGCAACAGAGAACGGCTCAACTACTTGCGTCCCTGCCACCCACCCTGACTTCAGCCTGGCCCAGGCCCTCCCCCTCCCCCCACCCTTTCAAATTAAAATAAAAATAAATAAAAAGATGAAAACACAAATTACATTATTTAAATAGATGTTATCTTTAAGTGTTCACTTAAAATTGACCTGGAGATGTGTCTAATACTGCATCCAGGCATCTGACGATGTCCTCTAACCACATGAAGAAGATAAAATATTCAAAATGACTCAATGGCCTTTCTTCTGTTACTTCCATTAAATCTAAATTTAAAAAAATTGTAAAAATGGACTTTCACATTTATTTTAAAAAGTGCTTTCACAATCACTTTAGCCACGTTTTTATACCCATCACGATTCATTAGATCTTAAATAACCCCATGCACCCATAAGCAGTTAAGAAGAGCGTTCGTTCATCAGACGTCTCACAGCTGTCTTCAGTAACTTGGCCGTGTGTTATTCAGCCTAGAGTGTGTCAGAGGGACCTGTAACAGTGTGTGCATCCCTTTCAACTCCAAGTGTCAGAAACACAGTTGGTGAACAAGACCAAGTTTGACTTTAGTGGTTTATTTTACCCAAGCTCTTGGAGGTAAATCACCATTCCCAGCCCATGAAGTTAAAGGGGATAATAAAGAAGGACTTGGGAACCCCTGTGCCAGGAAGCTAAAGAAAGCAAGTGAAATCTGCTCAGGATAGCTGGTTGCGATGCACAGGTGGATCCAGTGTGCGCTCCATCTTCTCTTGCTGAAGGTTTAGTCTTGGCCTCTTCTGTGAAGTGTCTACGTTCTTTCCTACTAGGTCATGGGATGACCAAATGCTGGGCGACGCGTGCCGGTTGGTCCTGGATGAGATTTACATCCCGCCAGCAGCTAAGGGGGGCATGGTGGAATACAAGCGGACCCTCATCGTCAGCCTGCTCTTCAAATTCTACCTGAAAGTGCGGCAAGGACTAAATAAAATGGTGAATAGCGTCTCTGGGTCCCTGGGTCCCTGGGTCCCTGGGTCTCTGGGTCCCTGGGTCCCTGGGTCTCTGGGTCTCTGGGTTCTTGCCTCCCTGGGCAGGAGTCTGTGGATGAAAGATGTACCTCGCCTGGTTTGGTCAATACATCAAGGGTCCTGGGATGGGTAGCAGGTTGGGTTGACTTACAATGGTGTTAAAAGACTTCAGTAAGTAAATTAGACTAATTTTTTCCTTTTTTTAGCATAATTTTCTTACTAAAGCAATATTCTGAAAATGTGAATAAACCAAAAAGGAAAATCATCTATAACCCCATCAGACATAGATAACCACTATAAACGTTTTGCTGTACATCCTTGAAAACCATTCTTTATGAAAGTGTGTGTGTGTGTGTGCACACGCACTTAATTTTTTAGTATAGCTTCTGGAAATACCAGTAACATTCATTTTCCTGTGTGTAAATAGATGTTGTTTTTCTTCAAACAATGGCTAACAGCCTATGGAACTCAAAGCTCAGGACTCTCTCCCAGCCCAACTGGAGTCTAAGATCTAAGAAGACACATTGGATAACCCTATTTCTATAGCTATTTTTCTGTGATAGTCACCCAGATTGCAAAACTAAACATGAAATAATCTTTACAGGATCCTAAGAAGTTCCCCGATATTCCAGAAACATACCTGAGCGCTCTAGAAGATTTCCCCATAGAAACTCCCCAAGGGATTCAGATGTTCCAGGTTGGTGGTGGAACAGGGGGAGTTTGTTTTTTAATCTGTCTATGTATTCAGGTGTATGCATTTTGGACACATCTCTCTCCAATAATTACATTTTTATTACAAAGATGAAGTCTACTAAAGCTAGCTGATGTTACCTGCTGTCACACACACATCACTTGCTTGGGTTAGGGCCTCTGCTTTTACTCAAGGTCAACCAAAAGATTAGATTATGAATCTCTCTTCTCCATCATTTTCCATTTTATTGGCTAAAATTGCCTTCTTTTCTTGTTCATTGTCTGCCTTCCTGGGTCAGAAGTGGAGTAGCTGGGACATGAATCAGCGCCCATATAGGATGCCGGTATTGCAGACAGCAGCTTTACCCACTACGTCAAACACCAAGCCCTGACCACATTATTTTAATGTGTGTTTGTAAATGCATTGATTCTTCAACAACATAGTAGAATCCTTGATGACAGGAACAGTGTCTTTCTGGTAGGAAGAGAGGGGATTGTAACCAGAATATATCCCTTACCATACCACTCAATGTGTATTTATTAACCTTGACTCACAGATGTGGATTCCAATTGCCTATAGTTTTGCTTGACTTGTGAGTAAGCCAGATATATCAAACTGCATGGTTGGGTCATGAGAATTTCTGTTGTAACATAACTTGCTCTGTTCATCAACAGTGTGTGGATCCCGCTCAACCCTTACAAGATCCAGTTGGACACCCGATCATGCACCAGTCGGCCATTAAACATGCCACTGGAGAGGCTGTGTTTATAGATGACATGCCCGCCGTGGACCAAGAACTCTATCTTGCTGTGGTCACCAGCACCAGAGCTCATGCCAATATCATGTAAGGAAATAAAAGATGTTTCCATGTGTTACTGACATGCATTCAGTTTCATATCCAAGCTGAGAGCTTATCATGTATTTCAGTTAATTTAGAGTATTCATTTCCTCTTCTGGGTGGGAATCAGTCACTTCTTCAGCATAGTTATGAAAGACTCTATGACCTAGAGTTAGAACTGTTAAATATCAGTATTTTTCAACGTAAGCTATTGCTCCATAGTTCATTGTAAAAATCCATCATCATTTTTCTCTGTGTTTAAGGAATCATTTACATTAACCATAAACTTACCCCTGCAACCTTAATGGCTACCTTCAGGTTTTCCCTCCTAGATCAATTGATACTTCAGAAGCCCTGGCACTTCCAGGTGTGGTTGATGTGATAACAGCAGAAGATGTTCCGGGAGAAAATAACCATAAAGGGGAGATTTTCTATGCAAAGAATGAGGTGTGTGACTTTCTGTAGCTTATTATTCAAGTGCATTTGCTGGGAACACCAAGATATGTATTTATTATTACTATACTATCCATGGATTCATGAGTACCACACCAAGACTTGCTGGGAGTCAATGACTCCACCTCGGTGATTCTCAACTTCTCTTTTGAATCATGGACCCTTTTAAGGTTCTAATACAAGCATATTAAAGGCCGACATAGTGGCAGAATGTGTTAAGCCTCCGTCTGCAACACCAGAATCCTCTATGGGCGCCAGTTTGAGTCCTGGCTGCTCCACTTCCAATCCAGCTGCCTGCTAATGCACCTAAGAAAAGCAGTAGAAGATGGCCCAAGTGTTTGGGCCTCTGCCACCCCATTGTGGGAGACCCAGAAGAAGCTTCTGGCTCCTGGTTTTGGCCTGACCCAGTCCTGGTCTTTGCAGCCATTTGGGGAGTGACAGTGGATGAAAGATCTCTCTCTCTCTCTCTCTCTCTCTCTCTCTGTCTTCTCCCTCTCTCCTCTGTAATCTGCCTTTCAAATAAATAAAATAAAGTTTTTAAAAATAGAGGGGCTTCTAAAATGTCATGAGGGGCTGGCAGTGTGGCACAGCAGGTTAAGCCGCTGCCTGCAAGGCCAGCATCCAAGTCCCACTGCTCTGCTTCAGATCCAGCTGCCTGGGAAAGCAGTGAGCAATCACCTAAATACTTGGGCCCCTGACACCCATGGGGAAGACCAGGCTGGAGTTCCAGGCTCCTGGCTTCAGCCTGGCCCAGCCTCAGTCATTGCAGCCATTTGGAGAGTGAACCAGCAGATGGATGATTCTCTCTCTCCCTCTCTCTCTCTCTCTCTCTCTGTGTGTGTGTGTCAGTGTCTGTGTGTGTGTGTGTGTGTGTAACTCTGCCTTTCAAATAAATAAATCTTTAAAAAAAAACATGAAAATATAGAATACAGAGCACTGGCTATTGAAAGAAAACAGAATTCCAGGTTGACTAGATCATTGTGGTGCTGTGGGAATGGTGAGGATGTGTCTGGAGACAAGACTGCAGATTGTTAAAGCCAGGTAATGAAGCTCTGCATCCAATTTTTGTGCCCCCTAAATTACACTCAAGACACAATTTGAAATTAATCTCATAAGTAAAAAAAATCTTTCCTGTGGTCATAAAATCCCAGTGGGCCATTGTAACAGTGTGGGAACAGAAATTCCTTTTTGAGGATTCTCTATGTGAATTACAACACGTGGATTTCCTGCAGGTAATTTGCGTGGGTCAGATCGTCTGCACTGTGGCTGCTGACACCTACGCTCACGCAAAAGCAGCAGCTAAAAAAGTGAGGATTGCTTATGAAGACATAGAGCCAAGGATTATCACAATCAAGGTAACCAGAACACTTGTGTCTTCCAGAATGTTGATGGTGGCTTCCTTGGGGCAGAATTCAACCCATGGAATCATAAAATAATACAAGTGTGGCTCCATCTACACTGTGTTCAGTGTCGCTGTAGTCTTAGATTAAAGGCTCTAGTAATCTCTGTACCTTGACCTTCCCTGCCTGCATAGGAGGGATCCAGGCAGGAAGGGTCTCAGTACTGTATCTCAAGGTACAGAATACTGGAGCCGTGTGACCTCACATCCAAAGCTAGTCAGTGGGAAAAACCTAGAGCATCGCGGAGCTCAGAAAAGTTGTAGCATTTGGCTCTCCGTTCATTACCAAAATCCCCTCTTGGTCTATCAGGTGTCCTTTTTTATTACTTCTTTTCATTAAACTTGGCTAGCATGCTTACTGTCCAAAAATAAATAAATAACCTTGACTGTTTGAGGGTCTTCAAACAGTTCAAGGAAAATGCATACTATGAAAAACTATGCATGACTTCCAAGGGCTTCTTGTACCAATATAACCTTATCTTTTGATAACATTTTCCCATGAACTTTTTGAAGTACCCTTGCAGTTCAACTAGTGGGTCTTCTATCGCCCTTCCCACTTACCACTTATGCGCAAGCTCTGGAGACAGACTACTTGGATTCATAATCTGACTCTGCCATTTAATAGCCTCTTGACAGCAATGAAAGCTTTGGCAAGTTTCTGAAAGTCCCCATCCCTCAGTTTACTCAACTGTAAAATGGGCACTGTGAAAGCACCCACGCTAAAAGACCATTGTGAGGTTTAAATGAGAGAATCCAGGGAGTGCATTCAGTGCAAGTTCACTGTCACTTTTGTTCTACGTGTTATTAGTGAGAACAAGGACATGCGTTGTGAGTTCTATCACCAGTGCCTAGTGAAGCACCCAGGCTGCAGCTGGCACTCAGCAGTTGTGTTGGGTGATGGAGGGACAGAGGGATAAACGGACAGAAGGAGAGTAAGTGCTGAGACCACCTCCCTGACATTGGATGCAGTCTTGAGTATCCTCTTTGATTCTCCCCTGCTCTTCCCGACAGTTGCCAAGTTCAAGTTGTCCTTTAAATGCCTCTTGGATCTGCCCCCTTTCTTTCCATTCCCACCTTTGCTCTTCCCTCCAGCCCCATCTTCACCACATTATTATCAAAATTTACTGCAATAACCACATTGGAGGCTCTCATCTTCCATTTCAGCCTGCCTACCCACCACGCTGACTTCTCTAAGCCACACAGTTTGTTGGGTCACTTTTCCTGGTCAACAATACCCCCTTGGATATTATCCCAACTCCTTAGAATGGAATCAAGGTCTTTCATAGTCCAGCCTCAATCCAATTTCCAAACTCATCTTTCAGTGTTTCTTTGCAGAAAACCCACATCCCAGCCAGCCTGGTTTTGTCCTCATTGTGTCCTCCTCTCGATTTCAACCTCAAATTATTGTTTCATAATGTGATCTAGACTTCAGATGATCCCAGATACAATCAGATTGCCCTTAAAGGCCATCCCTAAGCACCCAGGTGCCTCCAGCCTCCTCCTTCTCGACCTCTCCTAATTCTATGTTGTACCCTCTTCAGCCCAGAGTTGGCACCTTAATACCACACTGCCTCCCATCATTGCTAAGCAATCTAGGGATGGGGCCACATATATAGACCCCTGAATCCTCCCTCAGCTCTTCTCAGAACATGGAATAAAACCGAGTCACCAATGCCTGTAACCCATTTAAATCCAATTTCTAATGATTCTTCATGCTACTCTTGCTTGGAGAGTCTCGTGTGGGATCTGACAAAACAGAAACCTGGAATTTGGTGGGGGACAAATTGCTTGTTAGAATGCAAAAACAAAAATTCTGGCTTGTTTTTCCACTGCAGCAAGCTCTGGAGCACAATTCGTTCCTTTCTGTCGAGAGAAAAATTGAGCAAGGCAACGTGGAGCAAGCCTTTAAACACGTTGACCAAATCATTGAAGGTGAGTCATCTTGGGTCAGAATAGCAAAGCTTCCAAGTTCAAGATACTGCATCAGCTCATTTGAGAAGCTCCAAGGCAGTGCTTCTGCAAGCCAGAGGGTTTCTTAAGTAAAACTGAAAATGCACAATAAGTTCACAGCTTGAATTTTTACCTATGTATAATCTTATCTAAGTACTAACCAAAGCAAGGCACAGAATATGGCCAGCACTCCAGCAAACGTCCTTGTATCCTTTCCTAGTAACTCCTCACAAGGTGTTAGTCTAACTTTTAACACTGTAGTTTAGTTTTTGATGTTTTAAAATTCATATAAATGGAATCTTATGTGCCTACTTCTTTTATTTAACAGTTTGTGTAGAGATTCATCCATATTGTTGCATAGATCAGTAGTTCTTGGGTTTTTTTTTTAAAGATTTATTTATTTATTTGAAACTCAGAGTTACACAGAGAGAGGAGAGACAGAGAGAGAGGTCTTCCATCTGCTGCTTCACTTCCCAATTGGCCACAATGGCCAGAGCTGAGCCAATCCGAAGCCAGGAGCCAGGAGCTTCTTCTGGGTCTCCCACACGGGTGCAGAGGCCCAAGGTCTTGGGCCATCTTCTACTGCTTTCCCAGGCCATAGGAGAGAGCTGGATCAGAAGAGGAGCAGCCGGATCACTAACCAGCATCCATATGGGATGCCGGTGCTTCAGGTCAGGGTGTTAACCCGCTGCGCCACAGTGCCAGCCCCAGATCAGTAGTTCTTTTTCATTGCTTGGTAGTATGTCACTGCATGGATATTCTGTAATTTATTTATATATTCTGTTGTTGATGGACATTTTAGTTGTTTTCAAGTTAAAGTCATTGTCAGTGTTTCTGCCGACACTATCATGCTTATCTTTTAGTGAACATAAGCCCTCACTTCTAATAGACTATACCAACGAATGAAATTCTTCCAAAAATGTATTGCCTTTTGTCAATATGACATATAGGCTTCCAGGTCTGACCAGCTCTTTGGGGTTGCAATTTCATTTCCATGAGGACCACATACACGCATACCATCTGTATATAAAAATAAATTTTTTTCTCCTTTAAAAACATTAATTGGATTTTAAGCAGATTTTTCAGCATTTTTTTTTGCATGACCCACATTCTACTGTCCCAAGAAACATTTTTAAATAATCTTTTCACTCTTAGCAAAACAATTCACTTATTTTAATAGCACAGAGGTCTTTCAGGTAATTAAAAAATAAACATAGTGTCTTCCAGTATTTTAATAAAGACCAAACATTTCTCCTAGTATAACACACAAAATGGTAAGGATATACTGGACAAACCAAAAATCTCACGTGAACCAGTAAGACCAGGCTGGTTTTAAGGTATGGAACAACCTCAGCTCTGACAAGTTAAACCTTTATTTCCTTTAGGTGTGATGTTTGATCTAGCCATTAAGGTACCAGTATCCACTTCTGGAGTGTCTGGGTCTGAGCTCTGGCCCCACTCCCACTTCAGCTTCCTGATAATGCACAGCCTAGAAGGCAGCAGATCGTGGCCCATGTAGTTGGATCCCTCCCACCCCCATGGAAGAGCTGGCCTGGCCCAGCCTTGACTATTGTGGGCATTTGAGGAATAAACCAACAGATGTGGTTCTCTCTCTCTCTCTCTCTCTCTCTGTCTGTCTCCTAATCCTCAACATCCCCTAATTGATTGAGGTACATATTATTATTTCCTCTCATTTTTTTTAGCTGAGGAAGCTGGGATTTAAAAACTTGTCCACTCACTCATCAAGGAGATGGTCAAGCCTGGGTGTGTAACCAGACTAGCCTGTGCTCCCAAGTGCAGCACGTCACAGATGTGACAGCTCACTGCACAGCTCAGGAAACTGAGGCCAAGAGGGTTGAAGTGAGTTACCCAAGGTCACTCAACTGGTTGGGCACAGAGAGGACTAAAAGAAGTGATTTAATCCAGTAATATGAAGTCCAGCCCTCCATAAGCTGAAGCAACTCACTATTAATAAACAAAACACCACCCAGAGCTCCTGCATGGGGATTTGTGAGCAACCATGGTGCTGTGTTTATGTTTTACAGGTGAGATCCACGTGGAAGGACAGGAACACTTTTACATGGAAACACAAACTGTCCTGGCTATCCCAAAAGAGGAAGATAAAGAAATGGTGTTACACCTTGGGACACAGTTTCCAACCCACGTGCAGGTAACAGGACACTGTTGGGAAATTTAGTTCCAGATGGGCAGGTGTTGTGAGGCCCTTGCCTCCGGGTGCCCCACTGCTGGAAACTTTGGAACCCTCCCACTCCTAATAACATGAACTTGACATTAGCTAAAGTCCAGAATGAATTCAAAGGGAGCAACAATTTCTTTAAAAGAGCAGACCATTCAAGGTGATCTGGAAATGTCTGTACCTTCCAAAGCAGGGCAAGGTTCATCTTTCCCTTATAACAACTGATAGCATGAAACTGTCAAAGCACTGGTGTGATAACTCTGCCCTATGGTTCATTTGCATGGCTATTCTATGTGAGTGTAGAGTTCCCATGAATCAGTGGGGCACACATAAAGCAGTTGTGTTTCCAAGATGTAATCAATACAGCTTAATAAGAAGCATGTAAATCCCAGTCTTGTGGTGGTGGTGAAGATATAAGGCTTTATCACACCCAGGGAAACAATAAAGATTTTGATATTCCCCTCTTGCAATCTGTAAAGAAATTGTTGGCCCCAGAATAGTGCCAGGCAGGGGTGGGTAATTTTAAAAATTGCACTAGGGGAGGAGTAATGACAAGCATCACTGAGGGAGAAAGCTGGGGGCTTCCTTGTATAGCACAGGTGAGTGGACATCTTGGGTCCTAACAGGGCAGGTGGGCTGTCTGGGAGGAGGAAGCCCCCAGCTGTCATCAAGGCAAAATGAAAGGCAGAGGTCATTAATTTTGAGCTGGGATCTGGCCGTGACCTCCACAACTGCAAGACTGGAAGTGGACAGAAGAGAATTGCAGACACAGGCTTTGCCCCTAGGCAGCTATGCGACCTGCTGCAAGTCACTGGGCATTGGCACCCTTTTCTGTAAATCGAGATAAGTGGCTTTCATCTGGGGTTTGTTTGGGCAGGGGGTCTGTGGCTCAGAGCTCCAGCAGATAACATGTACATCCCAAGGTCACCATTGCCACCAACTCCTAGGTTTCAATCAGTTAGTTACACAATAGCAGCCATTTCCCAGGGGGAACTAGACCACTGGGTACCCACAACCTGCTCAGCCAAGAACCCAAGGCAACACCAAAAGCCATACAAGGGATTTGAATCTGCGCTCCTCTAAAGAAGATCTTTCAGTGACTATCAAGCACGTGAAAATGTGTTCAGCGTTATTCATCACAATGTAAATGCAAATCAAAACCACAGCGAGGAGCCTTTTCATATCCTCTAGAATGGCTACCATTAAAGAGACAATAACAAGTGTTGTAGAGAAACTAGAACTTTCCCACCTTGCTGTGGGCTCAAAAAATACCAAAGCCACTTTGGAAAACAGCTTGACAGTTTCTCAGGATGGTGGGGTCATATAACCCAACCACTGACATGACCAAGTATCTGCCCAAGACAAATGAAAACATATGTTCATCCCAACAGAAAAAGGAAGACCTTTCTCTCTGTCTCTGTCTGTCTCTGTCTCTCTCTGTCTCTCACTGTCTAACTCTGCCTGTCCAAAAAAAAAAAAAGAAAGAAAACATATGTTCACCCAAAAAAACTTACACACAAGTGTTCACAGCAGTATCATTCATAATATCCAAAAGAGAAAACAACAGAATGTCCATCAACTGATGAATGAACAAAATGTGGCCTAATTGTACAGTGGAATATTATTTGGCCAAAAAAAGGATAAAATACCAATATTTACTGTAACATAGATGAACTCTGGCAACATTATGATAGATGGAAGCCGGTCACAAAAATCACATATTGGATGGTTCCATTTATGTAAGCATCCCAAACAGGTAAATCTACAGAGAAAAAAAGAAGATCTATGATTACCTAGTGCTCGGAGATTGGAGGGAGGTGAGGGGTGACTGCTTCATGGCTATAGGTTTCTTTGGAGCCTGACACCTTAAAATTAGATTATGATAATGATTACAACACTCTTTAAACATAAATATTTGTTGAATATCTGACTTACTGGGCAAAGAGGAAATACATGGCTAAGAAAGTAAACTATTCAATTGCACTTCTATGTCTCCGGGGACTTATGTCTTGCAGGAATATGTGGCCGCAGCCCTAAACGTCCCAAGGAGTAGAGTCGCCTGTCACATGAAAAGAGCTGGAGGAGCATTTGGGGGGAAAGTGACCAAGCCTGCCCTGCTAGGAGCTGTCAGTGCTGTGGCGGCCAACAAGTAAGAGTCACGGCGGCTGCCGTCCAGGTAGCATGGGTGCCGCCCTGCACCGCCACTTTCATCTCAGCTGGGGCTGCCCGTGGAAGGAGGGACAAGAGCCCAACCTTACAAGAGGCGTATTTTGTCATGCAGTGAACCCGGGCTGTTGCTGCGGCCCAGGAATGTTCAGGTAGTCTCTGCCTCCTCTGGTCGGAACATCCTGATGTGGGAATGGCCATGACTTTTGTGAACCTTGTAGCCATCAAAGTTCACTGAGATGTAGTCAGGACAAATGTAGCGTATCCCAGGCTATTGCTGCAAAAAGGAAAACGGACTCTCTCCAACAACAGAAAAAGCTCTTCTACAGGGAGCAGGCTTGCAGGCCCTGGGAACGTTCAGTCAAAACCCAGAGTCCTTGCAGGACACTTGGTGAAACGGGAGCCTGACGATGAGGGAGGCTGAACTCAGCAGGGCACTGGGTCTCCACCTCTCAGCCTCAACATCCCTCTCACAGCAGGTGTTCAGTATCCCCTTTAGAATCCCAAATTGAAATTTACAGTAGCATCTACTTATACACAAAACAGCAAAATGACCATATCATTCCTAATATAAACAATAAACAAAAGGGAAATAGCATAATCAAATCACATGACATTGCAATGTAGAAATAAATATTCAGACTTAACTAAACCAAAATAATTTTTTTTATTTTCACCCCCTCCCAGTCTTCCAAAATGTTGTTTACAGTCTATTACTCTCCCACTAAACACCACTAGTTTATCTCAAGTCTTCTTTCCTCATCTCCGTGTTCCTGCAGCTTTATGAAGCATCCAGTATGCTAACGGCATTGTTTCCTCTAGGACTGGCCGCCCAATCCGATTTATCCTGGAGCGTGGTGATGACATGCTGATAACTGCTGGCCGCCACCCACTCTTTGCAAAATACAAAGTGAGTGAGAGCAAAACGTTCAGAAAACTGCCTAAGATGTTGTCCAGGGTTAATCAACAGATAGGAAAGGCAACTGCTAAATGCCATATCGCTTAACAAGAATATTTGAATACTGCCTAAAGATGTGCGATTATGTTCATCCCCCATGTACCTTTTCGCATCATGTGCAAAGCTAAATGTGGATTGACTGCTATGATCAAACGTGTCTGTGTTCAACATGGTTTGGTTTGCTATCGCCTTGCAGGTCGGATTCATGAACAATGGTGTGATCAAAGCTGCTGATGTTGAGTATTACATCAACGGTGGTTGCACCCCTGATGAGTCTGAGTTGGTAAATAAGAAATATGCCGTTGCCATAGATGAACACTTCAGTTGTAAATGTCACATTTTATTTTGCACAAAAATTTGTCTCACAAGTTAGATGATTTCTGAGCAGGGTTCAAGTTAAAAATAAAATTCAGATAAGTAGCTTTGACTATCTGACAGATACAAAGTTCCATGTTGTTTGGCTTCAATTCAGGTGACGGAGTTCATTGTGCTGAAATCAGAAAATGCATATGATATTCCCAACTTCCGGTGCAGAGGAAGACCTTGCAAAACTAACTTGCCATCCAACACTGCCTTTCGGGGATTTGGCTTCCCTCAGGCTACAGTGGTGGTCGAATCTTACATAACGGCCGTGGCGTCTCAATGTAACTTACTCCCTGAAGAGGTAAACGATCAGAACCCCCTAATAATACGCGGACCACATTGCTTCAAATATGTTTTGAGCACCTACAAATAGCATTATTTCAGCCTCTATGTAGACTCACAGAAAGAAAAAAAAAAAAAAAGGTGATCGCCCCTGTGTCTCAATTAACTTTTGCTGTGTGAGTTTCTGTAAGTCAACCACAGGATCTAATGGCTTTCAACAAAAGATAGCATTTCTTCAAAATCTGTGGATCCACTGGGTAGCTCCTCTAGTCTGGGCCCATGCAACTGAGGTTTTATGGCAGAAGATGGCTTCACTCACTGTCTTGTGGTCATCAGTTTGTGTGGGGGTGCCCTAGCTGGGAAGACTCACTTCTACTCCACAGAGTCATCCTCCCGGGGGTGGCTACACATGGCAAGCCCTAACACACAAGTGCTTCTCAAGTCTCTACGTCAGTTGAATCAGTTGGAAACCATCAAAGGGCATAGAGAGCATAGAATGACTACAGCCTTCTGTGCAAACCGATTACCACAACTTAAGACTTTGAGGAATTAATTTGAGAACAAGTTAAAAACAAGGCAAGATTGCATGATGGTAAAAAGATTTTGAATCAGGAAAATTTTATCTCACTACTAACAAACTTAAGATGGACCTATGGCCGGCGCCGTGGCTCAGTAGGCTAATCCTCTGCCTAGCGGCACTGGCACACCGGGTTCTAGTCCCGGTCGGGGCGCCGGATTCTGTCCCGGTTGTCCCTCTTCCAGGCCAGCTCTCTGCTGTGGCCCGGGAGTGCAGTGGAGGATGGCCCAAGTGCTTGGGCCCTGCACCCCATGGGAGACCAGGATAAGTACCTGGCTCCTGCCATCGGATCAACGCGGTGCACCGGCCACAGCACACTGGCCATGGCAGCCATTGGAGGGTGAACCAACGGCAAAAGGAAGACCTTTCTCTTTGTCTCTCTCTCTCTCACTATCCCTTCTGCCTGTCAAAAAAAAAAAAAAAAGAAAAAAAAAAAGATGGACCTACCATTTCACCGCATTATTGCAAAGTTAACTGACATAACACACTTAGCCTAGAGTCTGGCAAATATGAAATAATAGCTTCTATGGTTGTTGTTATTGTTTTGTTTATACACATATACTTACACATGAATAGTTATAGCCAGTTAAGTAGTTCTTTCTTTTTTAGAAAGACTTTCTACCAGACTTATAACAAAAATGCATGCTTCACATATGGAACAAACATCCATTCCTAAAATCCTTTTTATTTTTTCATCTCTTAGGTTAAAGAAATAAACATGTATAAGAAAAGCAGCAAAACAGCCTACAATCAGAAATTCAATCCAGAGCCCTTGAGAAGATGCTGGAAAGACTGTCTGGAGAAATCTTCATTCCACGCTAGAAAAAAGGCTGCAGAGGAATTCAACAAAAAGAATTACTGGAAGAAGAGGGGGCTGGCCGTCGTCCCTATGAAGTTTACCATTGGAGTCCCTATAGCCTACTACAATCAGGTGAGGCTGAGAGAGACGTGCCTTCTTCAAGGGCCCTTTTCCAAAGGGCTGGCTGGCTGGCTATGACAACTGTGTGCAACTGGGGATGGTCTACTCTGGGGACAGAAGACACTGGGACAGTTTCCTTTAGCAATAGACAGAGTAGGCCAGGTTTGGGGACTGTGGAGATCAATGAGCCTAAGCTAGGGTTGAGGACCATGGAAGTCCCTGTAAAGACTCAGGAGACTGGAAGCAATGAGAGTTACTTGCTGTTCGAAGGTGTGGTGGCAGGGACATGAACGTCAATACAGAGTTGGGTTTCTCCAGGGGTAGATGCAGGACCCCAGGCCACATATGACATATGATGGGGATTGATGACTCTAAAGAAAAATTCCAGCAACTTGCCAAACCATCCTGTGTAACCCGGCTTCCTCCTACCTGTGTTCTGGTCCCTGAAGCCATAGGCACATTCTGTAGGTTCTTCTTCCAAAACAATCAGCCCCAGAGGTGGTCAACAGCAGTGAGTTTCAAGAGGCATCAGGCTGTGGTCTTTGAAAACGCTAGAATATGGTTAGGAGTCTTGCATTGCAGTCCCGATTTTACCACAAACTAAGAACCTGGGTTTAGCCACGTCTCTCCCTCTCTTGACTTCTATTTCCTATGTGAGGAATTTGGATTAAGTCAATGGACCCCAAACCTGAGCAACCAGAAAATCACCTTTGGGGCTGGCATTGTGGTACAGTGAGTTAAATGGCTGCCTAAGATACCAGTATTCTTTATCAGCTCCCAGTTCGAATCCTGGCTGCTCCACTTCAAATTCAGCTCCCTGCTAATGTACCTGGGAAAGCAGCAGAAGATGGCCCAAGTAGTTGAGCCCCTGCCACCCATATGGGAGACGTGGATGCTATTCCAGGCTCCTGGCTTTGGCCTGGCCTAGCCCCAGTTGTTGCAGCCATTTGGGCAAGTGAACCAGCCGATTGAAGATTTTCTCTCTCTCTCTTTCTCTCTCTCTGTCTTACTCCCTCTCTCTCTCTTGCTCTGCCTTTCAAATAAACAAATTAAAAAAAAAAAAATGAAGAAAATCACCTGGCAGCTTTAACAAATGGGTATTTGAACTCCATCTCCAAACTGTTGCTGAATTGGGTTTTCCAGAATGGGGATCCAGGTCCCTCCCCAACTATGATTCTGAAAAATCAACATCTGGAAACCATCAAAACACCACAAGTTTCTTCCAGTTCTTCCAGTATCCAGGAGAGATTATGGCTGGAAATTTACTCATGTGTCGCTCCCCCTCTTCATGGAGGAACGACACTAAACCCTGCCCAGGCTTCTTATCCGAGTCACGGCACCATTATGTCGCTCCCCCTCTTCGTGGAGGAACGACACAGGACCCTGCGTTGTTCTTTCGTCTGCTCGGCCCTCCCCGGGTTTGCTGCTGGTTCTTCCCGGGTTGGCTACCGACCCTTCCACCTCCGTGGAAGGGCGGTTCCCCCTGCCACTTTCCCCACTTCTGCGGGGGAGTGGCACACCGCTGGCCGGCTCTCTCGGGGGCTGCTCAGATGTTCCTCCAGGTGTTCCCCTTAGATGTTCCTGGTGCATGTTGTCTCTCTCCTCCTTTATAGTCCTCTTCCCAACTCTGCTACCCACACGCCGAGTATGTTGCTCTCCTCCAATCAGGAGCAGGTCCTACAGTTTATTGGTTGAACTGGAGGCAGCTGTGTAGAAGGTGTTTACTCCTCTCCCAGCGCCATATTGTGGGAAAGCAGATGCATAGAATAAGTCTTAATTCGAGTAACAGTCTAGTCCGAGTTGCTCCCCACACTCATGCAGGTTCTATTTGCTTTAAAATTAATCTTCATGTCCAAGGAGGGAAGAATAATAATTGGTATGCAGGCTGGGGCCTGGGGTAGGCAACTCCCTAGGTAAGCCTGCACAAGCTGTGGTGGGCAGGAGACTGCTAGAGGGAAGATGGGCACTTCATTTATCCTCATCCATGTTTTTCAAGGCTGGGGTTCCTGAAAGGGGACAGGACTGCATACCAAAGTGATTCAAGTGAGAAAAGTGTCTTACAGTCAACAGCACCTTCCAGTCAACTTAGCAGTGGCTTGCATGCTCAGCAGGAGAAATGCCATCACACCAGGTGCACCAATAATAGCTTTCTTCTCCAGGATAAGAAAAAAAGAAATGATGCTGGTTCAATGAGACTGGTTCAGGGATCAGCAACCTCAGTTAAACTCATAGCCTCGGCTTCTCATCTGATACCATGATTGTTTCCACCCAGGCAGCTGCCCTCGTCCACATCTACATGGATGGCTCTGTCTTGCTGACTCACGGTGGCTGTGAACTGGGCCAAGGCCTGCACACCAAGATGATTCAGGTGAGATGATCTGTCTCCACAGCAGAAGACAGCACCTTCACGTCAACTGATCAGCTTTTTTGTTTTGTTGAGCGGGACAAATAGCATCCCACCAAATGCACAAGTCAATTGTAAGACTCTTCAGGTAAAAAAAAAATAATAATTAAATAAATAAGTAAATAAATAAGCAAGCAACTGACTCTTCCGGTGAGGGAAGTGAGTGCTAGGATGGGAGAAATACGGCACATTAGTCCCTACATACAAAAAAGCCAAGTCCACAGGTCTAAAACATATGATTCCAGTTTCAAAGAGAACAGACTTCTAAGCTTTCCCTCAACTGCTCAAAGTAATAATGTGTTCACTCAAACCCTCGAATGTTTGATAGAATGAAAAACTGTGCTCATAGATTCATAATCTACTGAGAAACTTCACTCACATGACTGGCCCTCACGTGTGCTAATTCACAGAAATGTGTTCCTAGTACTTTTGAAAGAGAGAGATTATTACCATAGGAAATTTACCCTTTTTTATGTATGTGAAAAGAGAATTTGTTGAATATGACATTGGATGAAAAAATTTGTGTGGGAAACAAAGCTTTTTCCCAATGAGAAATAGAGAAAAGATACTTTTTAAAGGAAAGGATATTCGTCTTTATTTTTTAAATTTTCATTTTATTTGAAAGCCGAGAGATTCAGAGATGCAGGAATCATATTTGCTGATTCATCTTCCCAAATGCTCATAATAGCCAGGGCTGGGCAAGGCTGAAGCTTGGAGTCAGAGATTTGATTCAGGCTTCCCACATGGGTAGCAGAGACCCAAGTTCTTGAGCTGTCATCTGCTGCCTCCCAGGCAGCACATTAGCAAGAACCAGTAGTGCAAGCAGAGAAGCTGGGACTGAAACCCAGAGAGGAACAAAGTTAATGAAATAGGAAACCTTTATCTTCTGCTTCTGCAGGTGGCCAGTCGAGAACTGAACATACCCAAGTCGAAAATCCACCTGTCGGAAACAAGCACTGTCACGGTGCCCAACGCGCTCTTCACGGCGGGGTCCATGGGCGCAGATGTCAATGGGAGAGCTGTGCAGGTGACTTTCCTCTCCTCTCTCAGTCACCCGGGGACAGCCCAGGAGGGCCCTCGTCTCAGCCCTTCTTTAATGGAAGAAGAAACTGAGGCCAGGAGAGGTCAAGTTCTAAGTCGGTCGGCTAAATACAGGCAGAGTCAAGACCCCAGGTCAAGTTTTCTGAGGCTCTCTTTGATGCTCCTGCTGCTGCACTGGGCGATTTTCATTATTCTTGTTCTGTTGCATATATAAACCTGCACCTTAGCAGCCTCCCTTTGTCTTAGATGAGAGAATCTCTCTCTTCTCTCACTCCAACAAACACAGAGCTTGAGCCAGTCCATAACCCCTCTAGGAATCCATTTTCTCTTCCACTTAACTGGGAATGCAAATACCCACCTCCTAGAATTGTTGGGTGGATGAAACTATGCAGTGAACAATCACCACCTCCTCTCCTTCCCGCTCTTCAGCTTCCCGCAAACGGTCAGCTGGCCTTTAGTGACCCACTGAGACCATCTCCACGAAATTACAGAAACCTGCACAAAAGGAGAGACTCGCAGCTCTTGAATGTGCCTGTAGATCATGTGACCAGCGCTTCCCTAAGTCTGCTCCTTGGGAGATGGCCCCATAGGGGCAGGGGCAGTCGATGAGTTTGGAAAATGCTGCCTAGTACATCCCACTCATGATGGCTTATGAAGCGCATTAGCATATTAAAAACTGACCAGTCCTGCAGCCAAGAAACCTATCTCACTCCGTTTGACATCTCTCCCAAATTTATTTAATCATGAAAACATTGTAATGTTTTTATTTAATCCCTCTTAACATCCTTTGGAGCCAGTGCTCCAAAAAAAATGCTCTGGGAAACTTCAGTTTCAGTAAGACCTGCAGATGACATGACATCTGGCATCACCAAGATGTTAGCTGCCTGGTGAACACAGGTGGTGGGAGACGAAGAGTCTCAGGCATTGACAAAGAAAGGACATGGACACACACACACACACACACACACACGAAAGAACAAAAGGTTTTGGGGATTTTGACCTTTTTTCTGATCTTTTCATGATGAAGAGTCATAATGAAGGTCATACATTTGTATGACCATTTGCCATTGTCTGGATCTGGTCAGGTTGATTCAATACTGGCTTACAATACTTACTTACTGAGGCCTGCCGTGTGCCAGGTCCTGGTCTAAGCACTAGAGTTGTAGCAGCAAATGAAATAGGACCAAATCCAAAGAGCCTGAGCTCACGCAGCTCACATTCAGGCAGCAAACCAACAAGCAAATGAAAGGGCGGGCCCCAGCCCATGCCACGGTTGCACCTGTACCAAATGGAAAATGAAGGTGCTAATGGAGTGGATCAGTGGGCCAACGAGGGAAGGCTGATTTCACAGGAAAGCACTGCCGAACCTCCTCATGCCCAGCCTTGCACCTGTGGAAACACAGCCATGCCCAGTCTCTGACCTCTGTGTGCCTGGGCATGGTTTCAACATTTTTCACACCAAAATGAATTTACCATTTAATTCTATTTCCCTCAAACTTTTTCAAGAGCCCTCATTAAGCCAAACTGTGAAACTGCTTGCTATTATCTCTTTTGTTTTTTCTTAAAATTTATTTATCTATTTGAAAGGCGGAGTTACAGAGAGGCAGAGGCAGAGAGAGAGAAGAGAGGTCTTCCATCCTCTGGTTCACTCCCCAGATGGCCACAATGGCCCGAGCTATGCCGATCTGAAGCCAGAAGCCAAGAGCTTCTTCTGGGTCTCCCACATGGGTGCAAGGGCCCAAGGATTTGGGCCATCCTCTACTGCTTTCCTAGGCCATAGCAGAGATCTGGATCAGAAGTGGAGCAGCCGGGACTCAAACAGTCACCCATATGGGATGCTGGCACTGCAGGTGGCAGCTTTACCTGCTACACCACAGCACCAGCCCCTATCTCTATCTTTTCAGGATAGTTTTGTCCTGGCCGGTGCCCTGGCTCACTAGGCTAATCCTCCTCCTGCAGCGCCAGCACCCCCGGTTCTAGTCCCAGTTGGGGCGCTGAATTCTGTCCCGGTTGCTCCTTTTCCAGTCCCCCTCTCTGCTGTGGCCCAGGAAGGCAGTGGAGGATGGCCCAAGTGCTTGGGCCCTGCACCCCATGGGAGACCAGGAGGAAGCACCTGGCTCCTGGCTTCAGATCGGCACAGCACGCCGGCCGTAGCAGCCATTTGGGGGGTGAACCAATGGAAGGAAGACCTTTCTCTTTCTCTCTCTCACTGCCTGTCAAAAAAAAAAAAAAAAAAAAAAAAGATAGTTTTGTCCTACTGGTAGCCAATACTTCCCTTCCTCTTTTGAGTAATAATTTTCCATTATGTGTTAAATTGTAATGTTAATTTTAATAAATCAATGGCATTCAGACAGCCATTTAACAATAGCGAGCTTCAGAAGGTCATAAAAGATTGACAGATGTCCACTGCAGTATCTCAGTATCTTCAAGGGTAAATTGATTTTCAGATTTATTTCAGCAGATTATCAAACTGTGGAGTGTAAAGTGAAGTCTTGGTGCATGGTGATCATGGCATGACAAGTGGAAGAGTAGCTGATACTGGGACAGGCGTGGGAGCTCTAGGGTTAGGTTTGCCTTGTATGTGACACTCCTCTGGAAGGCATCCACTGATAAGGAGGTCAGTGATTGGCAGCTGAGACAGACCTGTGGGAAAAGGGACCTTCCCCATGCATGAGAAGCCAGAGACCACTTGCCAAAAGAGTGGGTCACAGAAAAGGAGGGACAGAAACCAAGATGGGTGTGGAGGTTGTTCCGAGGCAGAGAGGAGGAAAGGAGAGGGGAGATGGAGATGGGTTCATCCAGATTCAGAGAGGAAGCCGCCGGCACCCGCAGATCAGGTGTGACCTTGGGAGTGTGTGATTTTTCCTTCTGTAATTTTTTTATTTTCATTTCAATGAAAATCTTATAGAAAATAACATAAGCATATTTGGCATCATTTATAAGTGGAGCTGCCATGAGATCTCGGCCCATATTTGGGACCAAAAATGTACTTTGTGGCAAGGTAACTAGAGGGGACCAGAGATGGACTTCATACGTAAATGTTGTTTTCTTGCCCAGTGAAAAGTAGTTGCATAGCAACTTACAAAACGCAACTCAAACAAGAAAGTTGAGAGCAAAGTGATCCATCAAGTGGTGCGGGGTAGACCTGCTGAACTCCAAGGGCCTGCGCGCAGCAGTCAGTACTTTTCTCCCACTGCAAGCAGCAATGTAGCTTCAAAAGCACGTCGTCTCTTAATCAAGTCCGTGCCATTATTTTGAATTTTACAGGTATATAGATGAGGGTGCACACTGTCCTTTGGTTCTGGCTTTCTGGTTCTAAGAGAGCTCTGACTCTAAGGGGACTCCCCTTAGCTCTGTGTTCACACATATCTAAGCAACACTATAGTAAACATCATTTTAAGTCAGCGCTGCAGGGTCCACAAGGAGACTTGTTTCCTTTGAAGCAATTCCATGCATTAGTGCAGATTTGGGAGCCCTCCCAGGGGACTAGAAAGCGGGTTCAGAAGCCTGGCACTCTGCGCTCGAGACAATGAAGTGGTCGACACCTTGCTACTCCCTGCGCCTGTTATTTCTGATATCATTTCAAATATTTGTTTTTAGAATGCCTGCCAAATTCTAATGTCTCGTCTCGAGCCCATCATTAAGAAAAACCCTGAAGGAAAATGGGAGGACTGGGTGAGTATGGTCTTTATTATCCCAGCCGGGAAAAGGCAACAGACAGGCAGAAGTCCTAGGTTCGTGGCTCTTTGGCGGTGCTGGTTCAAGAAGCAAAGCATTTGTTAGCATTTGCTTCTGCCTTTCTGAACAGGTGGAAGAGGTTTCCAAGTTCATTGAAACCTGACTTTATTTTAGAGCCTAATTTCTCACAGAGCGTGGTGGCAGCATGGGACCCCCAGGAAACCCACCCAGGGCTGTTGTCCCCGTTCTCTCACCGCTGCCTTGTGGGACAAATGACTTACCCAACACGGCCCCAGGGCCTTGGTTTTCTCACCTGTACAACGGAGCCAAGGGAAGTCTTAAGATGAAAGTATTATCTGTTTAATGATTATTATTCTAGTATAATCGCCATCATCATCTCCCATCCCTACCCAGCTTACTCCAGCAGGAAAGCTGACATAGTCATACGGTGAGACAGCCAACCAAATTACTTGGGGACAAAGCAGAATAAAGGGTCATATATAATAGGCCCCTTTATCCACGGGGTATACACTGCAAGACCCCGGGGTTGCCTGAAACTGCAGATCGTGCTCAATCTGTATAGACCACTTCTCTATCCAAACACCTGTGATAAAGGTTCATCTATCAGTTCTACATAGCGAGAGATCAACAGCTAATAAATAGAAAAATCATAACAACATACTGTAATAAAGTTTGGTGAATGTGCATGCTCATTCGCTCTCTCTCTCTCTCCCTCTTTCTCTTCTTGCACTGTATGTACCCTTCTTCCTGTTGGTTGTGGGGAACTGAAAGCTCGGGTAGGGAAACCAAGCCTAGAAAGGAACCACTCTCTCCGTCCCGTGTGTGTCCTGTGTACATGCCAAAGCACAGACGTACAAAAATATGGCTGAGCCCTGTCCCTAAGTTAAAAGCCCGAAACTTGACACTGCGCCACCCCAGCCAGTAGGGGGCCCCAGGCTGTCAGCCCACGGACGCCCTTCAGCCGCTCCCTAGTGAAGCCTACAGTGTGGACGCCGCCTTGGTCTCTCTCAGAGATGTGAACCCGGGGCTGACAGCAAACAAGAGGCAAGTCCAGTGCAGAAGGGGTTGCTCAAGGGTCTTCCTAAAATTCTATTTCTTTGTACCCAAACCCCTCCTTCAGGTTGCAAAAGCCTTTGCAGAATCCATCAGTCTCTCAGCTACTGGATATTACAAGTAAGGGATGCTTTTATTTTTGGCTTCATTGATACTGGGGCAGGAGTGAGTGAAGAGGCCAGGAGCTCAGCTGTGTCCAGTGTGAGCCCTCCATCACGGAATCATGGCAGGTGGGGAGGTCCTGGGGCTGGAGGCACCGGGTGGGGCAGGATGATGCAATGCAGAGCCACCTTGGGGCAGTAGCTACAGCCCGGCCAGGGGGGACCACAGGGACCGTGCGCTAGAGGGCTGGGCCAGGTCCCAGTTGCTCTCCCTGTGTCTGCCAGGGTCCCCCTGCAGGCCTGACCCCAGGCCCCCTCACAGGAGAAGGGGGGCCTAGGTCTCTAGTCACAGGGAGAAGCACTGCTCCAGGAGCCGGCACCGCCAGGGGACCAGACCAGTGAGTGCCTTCTGTTTTTCCTCCTGCTGCCCTGCCCAGGGGCTACCAGACAAACATGGACTGGGAGAAGGAGGAAGGAGAAGCGTATCCGTATTTTGTCTACGGAGCCTCCTGTGCCGAGGTTGAAGTCGACTGTCTGACGGGGGCTCACAAGGTCAGGAGCAGTGTTTGCCTTCACCGTTGTTGCAGGCTGTGCCATCCGTAACATCCACCCTGCCGGTCCCTGGGAAGAACCAGGGGCAGGCGTGTAACTGTAGTCCGCGTCTATCTGAACGCCTTCTGCGATGTGTGTTCTCTTGGCACAGCTCCTGCGGACTGACATCTTCATGGATGCTGCTTTCAGCATAAACCCGGCCGTGGACATTGGGCAGGTGCGTGTTTCTAGAACCATCCCCACAGGAAGACTTTTAGTCTCATTGGGCTACTTTTCACTCTGAGTATTCTTCCTTAGCATCCCCCAAGCCTGACCTAATACATGCATTCAGTAAGGTATATTATATCATACACACACACACACGCATGCATAGGCCCACACACACACGGATAAAACACTGAGAGAAAATTCGAGAACAGGTTAACGGTGACTGCTGTTGCATGGCAGACAGAAATACACAGTTTGCTCTGCCTCATAATTCTCTGTGCTTTCTCATTTTTCTTCGGTGAGCCTTGTATTCATGAGAACATTACGCGGATACATAAATTGCATTAGTGTTCATGTTAATATTGAATTCGAGCAGACTGCACCTTTTAGAGAAATGCAAGAGAAAAAGAAATGCTGACACACAATGTTTCTCCTCTGGCTGAATTTAATTCTGAGTTTTATTTCACAAATAAATAAGATATATCCACCCAAAATTGCTTTAAATTTAGGATTTAAGCTTTTCCCACTGTTTGGGGAGCTTTGCTTTTTCCCAGCTTTATTTCTCAAAGTGGGGGGGGGGCAACAGAAGGCTCCCACATAAAACCAGGTTGGCTGCTCCGCGGTCCACACCTGGCCCACACTTGGCCCACAGGCTGCACCTGGGCAGCAGTTTGGAGTGATCGGGTGTCTGGGCATAAGTCTGCACAGCTGTGTGGTACTCTCATCTGCCAGTGCTCGCCACCATCCTAAGGCCTAGGAGATCCATTTACGCAGCTTTCCCCAGGGATTTATGAGGAATAATTTTATTGGCCCTTCAGTGTTTTCCAAATGTGGTCCTCAGTCTCTCTGCATCACGTGTGCCACTGGAAATGTGAATCCCCTGGCCCACACCAGGCCCAGACTTGCTGCATCATAACTCTGCTAGGCTGGGACTTGGGGTCTGTACCCAGATGGATCAGAACCCTGTAGAGTTTGAGAACCACAGCGAGCCCGAGACCTGGCCTCTCCTCTCTCTTTCCCCCTCCTTCCAGATCACTCCTGCCTCGTCACTGTTTCTTCAAGGGAAATGGCAGATGTTATGACCAGGACAATTCTCTGTGCCCCATCGGGAAGGAAAAGAACTAAAGCTCCTGGGCTTTAACTTCTCCTTTAGCTACGAGCGTTGTCATATCCTAGCTTAGCATGGAGATGGGCTTACCTTATTCCAACATCCCAGGTTCTAATAGAATACGAACCATAACCTCCCTTCAATTTTTGTAAACTCTGGCACACACTCCCTTCAGAAGGGACCTTTGTCCTGGAGCATAATAGTTTATAAATAGAACTCAACATGGCTTTTTGGTAATTATGGTGATTTTGTCCAACCCACCCTAACATTGATCTATTCTTCTTAGTAATTTATAAAGGGAAGTAAAGAAACCCAGGTTTTCGAAAAACTACAGTAACCTGGCTCTGTCTATTCTAGTTCACGTTCCCTTAATGCTAAGTTCTTTTTCACCTAATTGGACATTTGTTGAGAAACCTATGTGCCAGGCCACTGAGTGAAGAACAGAGTACAAGAAGTCCAGGCTGCAGTGGGCTTTCGAGACAGAGAGAGTGTGTGCAAGAGCAGGAGAGGTGAGTGAGGAAGGCCTCCTCCAGGTGCCCTCCGATGGGGAGTGGGCTCAAGGGGCAGCAAGCCTGAAGCAAGCAGTTGCTAAATCTAGTGGAGATGGGAAGGGGCCCAGAGGGGCCAGAACTTGAGGCAAATAGGAGTTTGCCTGGTGGACAGGTGAAGGTCGGAAGGGGTGAAGGGAAAGAAACTGCCTTCCAAAGTCTTACAAATGCAAGAGAGCCTGGTGGATCTGGAGAATTCCTGGGATCTTGCAAGCCTTGGCACTTGGAATACTTGAGGATGAGGGCAGACAGGGAGGCAGGCACCAGTTCCCGAAAGGTTGCAAAGTCCTCGGCGGTACCTGCAAGAATCCTTACTGTGATCCACTGCTCCATTTCCATTCACACAGGAACATTTATACAACCGATATCATAGACTTCTCACCTGTGGATGTCTTGGCTGTAGGTTGAGGGTGCATTCATCCAAGGCATGGGATTCTATACCATAGAAGAACTGAAATACTCCCCGGAAGGTGTGCTCTATTCCCGGGGACCAGATGACTACAAAATCCCCACTGTCACTGAGATTCCAGAAGAGTTCTATATCACTCTGGTGCATTCCCGGAACCCCATAGCCATCTACTCCTCCAAGGTAAGAACGCAAGCTCTCGCTTAGGGCCTAGGGCTGCCACAACAAAGTACCGCAGACTGGGTGGCTTCAACAACAGACTTTGATTTTTCTCAAAGTTCTGGTAGTTGGGAGTCCAAGACCAAGGGGTTGGCAGGCCTCTCTCCTGGGCTTGCACTTGGTGTTTTCCTCCCTAGTTCTTCTCATGGGTTTCCCTCTGTGTGTGTCCATGTGCCCAAACGTTGCATTCTTGAAAGGACACTTCTTGGATGGGGGCCCACCCTAGTGACTTTATTTTAGCTTAAGCTTCTTTAAAAGCATTGTCTCCAAAAACAGTCACATTCTGAGTTACTGGGGTGCGGGAGTTCAACTCGTGAATTTAAGTGGGACACAGCTAAGTTCATTACAACCTCCTCTTTCTTTTTTCTTTTCTTTTTTTTTTTTTTTAAGATTTATTTATCTATTTGAAAGGCAGAGTTAGAGAGAGGTAGAGGCAGAGAAAGAGGTCTTCCACCTGCTGGTTCACTCCCCAAATGGCCGCAACGGCCAGAGCTGGACTAATCTGAAGCCAGGAGTCAGGAGTTTTTCCAGGTCTCCCACGCAGGTGCAGGGGCCCAAGGACTTGGGCCATCTTCTGCTGCTTCCCCAGGCCACAGCAGAGAGCTGGATTGGAAGTGGAGCAGCCGGGACTTGAATCAGTGACCATATGGGATGTCAGCACTGCAGGCAGTGGCTCTACTTGCTACACCATAGTGCTGGCCCCACAACCTCCTCTTTCAAGAAATTATGAAACAGTTCCTTGAGTTTTCTCACTCCTATTTCAAATCCCAAAAGGACAAAGGGGAAGGTAAAGTCAGTCTGTGACAGAGTGGTGCCCAGTGCCTCCAAAAGCCAAAGTAGGGTCTTTACCTCTTGGGAGAGAGGCTAGAAAAAGCCTAAAGCAAACAAGAAGCTCAAGAAGGAGCTGGCTGACTCGGTTCACTGGGCTAAGGGCACCACAGGATAACGCGTGCTGTGGGTGGATTCCATTAGCCCCGAGCTCTCTTTGCTGCTGCTGCCTCCCACCTGCCCTGCAGAGTCAATGCTGCCTTTCTCACACCCTTCTGAATCACAGTGGACTTTCACTCACCCTTGGCTCTGATACCCAAGGCATTGGCCCCGTGCTTCCTGGCACATTTGGCCTTTAACTGGCCCACGCAGATCCACAGCCAGCAGAGGTTCTCAAATATAAGCATGCAAAACACACACACACACACAACTTCTCCAGCTTAAATTCTACCCTGAGCCCACACCTGGCCAGACAGGCGGCCACATTAACTTCGAGTTTTCCTGGGGTCCTTCTCTTCCCTAGGAGCAGGTCAAGGCTGGGCGGAAGGCGAGACTTCCTGTGCAAATGCCTCTATTTCCTTGTCTACCTGGAGTTTGGCCAGGGCCTCTCTAAAGGCAGTCTGACACAGGGCATGACCCTGATGCTTTGCCCCCAGTAGGGGACCAGACTCTCCCCATTGTCCCCTGCCAAGCTTCCTCCCCCATGGCAAGCCAGGGATTTTGACAGCCGGAGCCTAGGAAAATCCTGATCAGCTTTGGGTCCTTGTCCCACTCCTCCAACAAGACCCTAGACACACACAACACAGGCCAGACTTTCTTAAAGGAAGAAAGAAGAAAAATCAGCACAAAAAAGCATTGGCGAATCCTTCAAAATGCATCGTCGCCATACAAGTAATTCGAAAGCATCCAACATAGGCCAGGAAAGGGAGCACCCGAGAACGAGGGAGTCACTCCACTGCCTTCTAAGCTCATCTACCAAGACTGCAGTTGTTTCAGTTTGGTTTTGAGTTACACACAAATGGTCTGGGCTGGAGCCAGAATATCCTAAAGACCACCAAGGGCTGTGGTCTTCAAGACATCCCCTGGGTGGGAAACTGGAGTTTGTAACTGCCCCAGTGCCCAGCATCCTGATGTCCTAGGGCATCTTCATGAGCTGGCCACAGAGGATCCACACACAAATTGCCACAGGAGGTGTTCCATTCTGATGATTCAGACACAGACTAGTATGGTGTGATAAAGCCGGTGTGTTGCATGTGACTTGTATGTGTGTACACACATTAGTCCTACAGGAACCAAGGCATTTCTGACAGCCTTTTGTGCTTTCCTTAGGGACTGGGTGAGGCCGGAATGTTCTTAGGATCTGCCGTGTTTTTCGCCATATATGATGCGGTAGCTGCTGCCCGCAGAGAAAGAGGGCTGACCAAGACCTTCACCCTGAGCAGCCCAGCCACTCCTGAACTCATCCGAATGACCTGTGTGGATCAGTTTACCGACATGGTAAGGGAGGCCCCTGTTGTAACGGCCTCGTACATGGACTTGCAGGTTCTTGGTATGGATTGGATAATCATGACAAAATGAGAGGCAGGTCAGTGATTTTCAAGGGAAATTCTCAATTTTGCCTCCACCTACCACTTCCCATATGCTTTAAAGTAATCACCAAGTGAGTAAACCTCTTCAAATGATGGTCAGTTTCAGACTCACCAAAAAAAAGAACATTCTGATGAGTGAGCCAGTGCTTTGGCATATGGACACAGTAGATTGCTTCTTTAAAGATCTCATCAACACAGAGAGTTGTGGTGGTATTTGGTTTCCTCTGTAGCCAAATTACACTAACTAGATTTGATCTGATCAGTTATACAGGAACTATTTGTTAGGCACACTAATAAAAATAATTTAAATGAAAGTTTCAGGTCACCGGGCACACCTGGATGTGCCTTGTAATAACACACTAGTATAATAAATTTCCATTTTTCAGCTGCTAAAATTATATCTGGAATGATCATCAGAAAGTATTTATCTGTGGAGCCCTGAATGAGCCTGATAATAAATTGCACCTTATGCTTGAAAGTGTGGGACATCTCAGTAAGATGCGTCTTATGAAACCTAGCAACTTTATAAGGATAAGGCTGTGACTCAAGGATGGAAACAAATATGAAAATTGTACTTGTATAATTTTGATGAGAATAAAACAGACATTGTCTTGGTTCTTTTTTAAAAAACGTAATTTGCCTTCTGAATTATGTTTTTTATATTACAAACTTTTATTAACAGCTCTCTCCCTTCTTTTGCTCTTTTTTAGATTCCCAGAGATGACCCTTCAACATTCACACCTTGGTCCATCCATGTGTCTTAATCTTCTGTTATCTAAAAAAATGAAAGTATATGTGATCAACCTGAAAGTTTCAAAATAGAGGTTGACTCCCAATTATCAGGAGTAATTTTAGCATTTTAAAATTATTCTCTATGGTTTAGGTTGCTGCATGATGATGTTTTTAAGAGGCAAATTTTACCAAAATTTGTTATGAAGCTCAGAATTGAAAACCCTAATTTTAGTTTGCATTGTCCTAAAAATCTACATCATCATGATTTTACAATATGATAGAATTTTTATTAGTCTGGAACCACTCAAGAGAGATGACTGGTGCTTTGTCCTTCAGAAATCTGCTCGAGATATGGTAAAACCATCCGCTTCTCAGCTCTCAGTAATAGATTCTCCCTAAGTCAGTGGTGTGCTGGTTATAATGAGCCCACCTGGAAAGAGTCCTTGACTTAATGGGTGTTTGCCAATCCCTTGGTATAAGCACTCCCTCCTTGGCCAATTCCAAGCCACCAACATGGGGCTCACAGTCCGGCACTCCAGAAAGGGTGAGAGCTGGCTCCAGCACTCAAGCCCCCTGCAGTTTCAGGGCCCTGCCACTGCCCTGTGACCCATGTGGAAGAGGCCTCAGAGGATAGACATGCGCTGTGGCTGGGATGAGGCTGATACCCGAACATTCATGTGCTGGAAGCTTGGCCCCTAGAGGACAGTGCTGAGGTCGGAGGTGACTGGCCCGTGACTGCCCTTGTGAAGGGATTAACGCTGGTCCCCAGGAACAGATTAGTTCCCACGAGAGTGAGTTGTTACAAAATAACGTGCCTGGCTGCTGCCTGGTCTCCTGCTTCCTCTCTCCTACATTCCCACTATGTGCTGCCACAACCATGCTGTGACACAGTAGGGGTCTCCCTGGATGAAATCATCTGATCCGGCTTCCAGGACTGCAAGCGAAAATAAATCTCTTTTCTTTATCCAGTACCCAGCCTGGAGTCTTTTGTTATAGTGACACAAAAAGGACTAAGGCACCGTCCCGTGCCTCCAGTTGGTCCTCCTCTGCCCTGAGCTTCATACACAGCCCATCTTCCTCACCTGGAGAGTGGCAGGGAGGGAAAACAGCAATCTCCAGTCTCTCCTGAGCCCCAGGTCTTGGCTTAAAGTCTAAACGGCAAAATCAGCACCACCTTGGCACCAAAGGGGCACAGGGTCCTCAAGGTTCTTCTGTGGTTATTTCGTAGCAATTGTGCATTCGATTTTCCTACAGAAATGCCAGAGATGTTCAGTCCCTGGCGAAGTTTGGAAACACAAATAAACTCAATTGCTTGTCAGGTATCTGTGCACTAAATCTTCAAGCCCTGCATTTTTTAAAGCCCTGCGGGTACTAATTTATTGCTGTAATTTTGTGGAGAGAGAGTAAGTAGGTGTGGAGCAATTGTTTATGTGTGCATGAGAAGAAAGCTGGTGATGGAAAGGAAAAGCTTCTTGCACCTGCACAAACAGAAGTGTAGGGGATGCGCTGATATGTTGCCGCTGAGCTGGGGATCCGAGAGATGGCCGAGACTGACCCCAAGACAGTGCGGGATCTCACCTCGGTGGTGGAGACGCTCCGGCCTGCAACAGATGGAAGATAAATTTCAGGGGCATGCCGGCGCCGTGGCTCAATAGGCTAATCCTCCACCTTGCGGCGCCGGCACACCGGGTTCTAGTCCCGGTTGGGGCGCCGGATTCTGTCCCGGTTGCCCCTCTTCCAGGCCAGCTCTCTGCTATGGCCAGGGAGTGCAGTGGAGGATGGCCCAGGTGCTTGGGCCCTGCACCCCATGGGAGACCAGGAAAAGCACCTGGCTCCTGGCTCCTGCCAGGATCAGCGCGGTGCGCCGGCTGCAGCGGCGGCCATTGGAGGGTGAACCAGCGGCAAAGGAAGACCTTTCTCTCTCTGTCTCTCTCTCTCACTGTCCACTCTGCCTGTCAAAAAAAAAAAAAAAAAATTTCAGGGGCTGGCGCTGTGGCATAGCAGGTTAAGCCGCCGCCTGCAGTGCCAGCATCCCATATGGGTGCCAGTTTGCGATCCGGTTGCTCCGCTTCCGATCCAGTTCTCTGCAATGGCCTGGGAAAGCAGTGGAGGATGGCCCAAGTCCTTGGACCCTTGCACCCATGTGGGAGACCCGGAAGAAGCTTCTGGCTCCTGGCTTTGGATGGGCACAGGACTGGCACAGCTCCAGCCATTGCAGCCAGTTGGGGAGTGAACCAGAGGATGGAAGACCTCTCTCTCTCTCTCTCTCTCTGCCTCTCCTTCTCTCTCTCTGTAACTCTAACTTTCAAATAAATAAATAAATCTTTAAATAAATAAATACATAAAAAGATAAATTTTGGACTGGGTCCTATCAGATCATCAGGAGAATTGATGATGAGTAGCTGCACCAGTAAACCATTGCAGACCTCATGACTCAGGCTGGAGCGGAACCTTCTGCCACACAGAAGGTTGTGAATGATTTACGCTGAAATCTGTGATGCTGGATTTTACAAGCCGAGAGAAGACCAAATGGATTTTTGCAGCTAACAACCACGTGTAGGCAAGGTTTTATATTATAAAGTGGGCATTATTTTTTTAAGATTTATTTATTTATTTGAAAGGCAGAGTTACAGAGAGGCAGAAGCAGAGAAAGAGAGAGAGAGAGAGAGAGAGAGAGAGGCCTTCCATCTACTGGTTCACTCCCCAGATGACCAAAACAGCTGGAGCTGCGCCAATCCGAAACCAGGAGCCAGGAGCTTCTTCCAGGTCTCCCACACAGGTGCAGGGGTCCAAGGATTTGGGCCATCCTCTACTGCTTTCCCAGGCCATAGCAGAGAGCTGGATCAGAAGTGAAGCTGCCGGGACTCGAACCATAAGGGATGCCGGCATTGCAGGTGGCGGCTTTACCTGCTGTGCCACAGTGCCAGCCCCTAAAGTGTGTGTTCTCATCACATACTGTATTGGTTAGGTATGGAGTGCTTCCTCCACTGCCAGCCTCACCGTTGTTTGAATATGGTGTTTTTACCACTTGGAGTTTGGTTCATTGTGCTATTATTTATTAAACATTACAACTTTCCTGGTTCCAGAAAAAAAAGAAGGTAAAGTTTTTTTTCACAGAAAAGGCTCACCAAAGTCAATGTCCTTTTTCCCAAGAGAAGTGTGTGTGTATGTGTGTGTGTATGTGTGTTCAAATCCAGCCAATAATCCAGAATGCCTGGAATGTACCAACAAGAACTCACTGGGCCACACAGAGCTATAAAAGTAGGGTCACTGACTTATTTTTCTAGCAATAAAATCGGAAGTCACATTTAGCACAAAGTGTTCATAGACTGTGGGGCAAGGCCTCAGATAACACAGAAACTCCTTTCTTACAAAATCAGACTGATAATTCCCGCAGTTTTTAATTAACTTGAAGAGCATGAATGAGAAAAGAAATAATACATTTCAAAGGACAGCAGGGTTCAAATATAGGATTAATATTCTGATGCCTTTAAAAATTAAATTCACAATTTACAGTGCCTATTGTATTATACACTTCATCCAGGTTACTAATTTAGATAAATATCTATCATTGTCTAATTTTTAAATGTTATTGCAGAGATAGTTGAATTACAAGCCTAAGCTGCAATGTTTTTAGCAAGTGGAGTTGGTAAATAAGAACCATTATAATGCAAAATGTACATCATCATTCATAAATCAGAGCTGTGACTGGTAGAAACTTCCCATGGCTGTTGCTAAATTGTGGGTTCAGTAAAAAATTGTCGGAACAGAAATCATTTACTATGCTGGCTGTGCTTCCCCTTTCAACTTAAAAGTACCTGTGGTCCATGGCTATCCTACTTCTCCTTAAAAGTACCTGTGGTCCATGGCTGTCCTACTTCTCCTTAAAAGTACCTGTGGCCCGTGGCTGTCCTACTTCTCCTTAAAAGTACCTGTGGCCCGTGGCTGTCCTACTTCTCCTGAGCCAAAAGTTTACAATGGAACAGTTTTTTTACCACCTGACGAAGCTGGAGAGTACACAGTAGAAGGGATGCATCTGCTTTCTGTTTTGTGTCTTGAACCTGCAAACACATGCACCCAGGTTTTGGAGATGGTCAAAAAGAGGGCTGGCGCAAGAGGGCTGGGGCAAGAGGGCTTGGACTCCATGCTGCTTCTTGTTGAGGACGTCTTTAAATCCTTTGCACCTAACTGTTGAAATCTTTACTTAATATATACTAAATTGATCTTCTGTATATAAAGATAATTGAAAATTAATCTTGATGTGAATGGGATGGGAGAGGGAGCGGGAGATGGGAGGGTTGTGGGTGGGAGGGAAGTTATGGAGGGGAAAAGCCATTGTAATCCATAAACTGTACTTTGGAAACTTATATTTATTAAATAAAAGTTTAAAAAAATCCTTTGCACCTGATACTTTCAGTGACTTAAACTGGCCGTGCTCTTCCTGCTGTCAGAATACTTGGTGTTGGGGATTTCATTCTCCAGAAGCTGAGACAGCGTCTGGGAGCAGGAGGTTTCTTAGGAATTAGCACCCTGAACAGGAAGGTTGAAGGGGTAGCACTGGGCAGAGAGGGAAGTTGAACTGCCGTGCAGCCCCTCAAAGCACCAAGCACCCAGCAAGGAGCCCTGAAGCAAACACTACACCCCACCCCCCAGAGCTGCCCTGCCTCGGCTGAAATGGACCCAACATCACTCATTGAAGATCATACATGATCTTACAAGATCACACCTGATCACAGATGGGGCTGCCCATGACCTTGAAGAAGCAAGCTCCTTGCCCCGAGACAGCCCCTGAAGGAGCTGTCAGCTGGAGGCATGCACTGACCCTGCTCCCCAGCTGAGCCCAAGTCCTTCCTCCAGGGGGATGTTGGTGGCTCACTGCCAGGTCCATCACACAGATCGCTCAGTTATTCTTTCTGATTTGTGAGTTTATTGATATGAAAATCTTACCTAGGCATCAATAGCAAATCATATTTCATCATACATTGAATGAGTTCCCTTTATAAAAAAAAAAAGAATCATTTTCTCAAATACA